GAGAGGGCGGTCAATAGCTGCCAACTTATGATTATCGGAATGAAAGCCTGCGACTAATTCCTTATATTTCACTCCACCAAGCAACTTGCAGGCCTAGTTACTTTTGTGGGACATCACGCTGTGTTTTGAGCTGCTGAATTCTTGGCTATGAACTTTTTGAACTGTGAGGGGAGAATTGATATAGGGAGTCATCCGGCTCCCTTTATTTTGATTCTGTTGTTGCGGAACACTACAGTTTTTGGAAGAAAGAGTTCTTGATGTGAAACGCACGAAGAGACTCGTGTATCAGTAACACCAATAGGATTAGCGATAAACACGCTTATTAGTTTTCGTAGTTCGTGGGGAGCTTTATCGTCAGGAAGAACGCATTTGTGCAGATGCTGTTAATGGAGCTTACTTTGAGCACAGTGACCTTTCCGCAATGTCCGGTCTGTTCTGTGAGAGTAAAACTGGGCTGGGAACTGACTTAAATGCAATCTGATGGTAAACAAACAGCGGCCCATTCTTCTTTTTAAGCGATCGACAATCCACCAGCCAAACAACTTGCTGCTGTTCATTTTATTTCTCGGGAGCCGTTTGGTTTTCTTCCTATCTGGATGCATATGAACTGCAGGCAGAAGGCATTGTCTACTGGTCCAGAAGCCTCGATCGGGGCAGATGTGGAAACTAATCTAACTAGTCTAGATTTGATATCCTTGTCCTTCTTTACCATGAGTGACAGTTTCTGCGTGATCTATGTCTTATGATTCACACATGTTCTCGGAAATTTCCACTTGTGATTGTCGTGGAGAGATTTTGCTGGCCCTCTGTTTTCCGGGACCCGGGTCATCATTTTCCTGCTATGAAGACCTTCTGCTTTCACTCTTGAGTTCTGTGAGCCGCACATGTTCCGGATGTGAAATATCCAGAAGAGTTGTAGGACCCTCTTTGGAATCGAGTTTAACTAGATGCTTACAGCATATCCTCACCACATTCAGAGAAAGAGACATTCCATGCCAGTGGGTCCATCGTGTCCCAGACCGTAGGCCTGGTAGTGCTTCCTTGATGAGATACGTTTCGCAACCTTGTGCCTCAGCTGATAACAGAGTTTGCCCCATTGCACCAATTCATTATTGCATTGAAGCCCATCTGGTAGCTTAAGGCACTTCTTCTGAGATGTTATTAGAAAACAAACCTTGTTGGTGGATACAAGGAGTGTGGCAGTGGGTGTGCTCATCTTTACCGTGACGTTAGACAGACTGTTAATATGTCTTGAGCCAGCAGCCTTTGTAGCTTTTCCTGCCTCCTGATGCCCAGTGATGTCAGTTTCACGTATGCTATGTGGTTTCGATAGTTCTCATTCCTCCTTGTTTCTACCGAACGCAAAGTTCTATCGACTGTTGCCGGTACACTAGTGGTGTCTCACAGGGAGCTGTGCACAGTCCTCAGTACCTGTTAAAACTAGGTTTTGCTGAGTTAGATATTCTCCACCTCGATGATGTACACACAAGCAATGTGGTACAAGCCATCAAACCGTATATTAGCTCTTGCGGACAATCTGCAGCCCTTTCTAGTACACATACCCATTTTGCCAACAACTTTTAATTGAACAATGGCCAGCAAAATCAAAAAACTTTCAAAACTTACCACGCAGAATCGTACCTTGAAAAAGTGACAAGACAGGTATAACCTTGAACTATGAAAACTGCTAAAAATGTCATAAAAGACCAACCGAAGCTCTGAAGCCATGCTCGAAAGACTTTTTAGGGTTGGGTGTATATTACTTTTGGTATCTTGTGTAACGGGATGAATGGCTAGAAAATCCCTCCTGAGTACAGCACTGTTATTCATCTGAATAGTTTTACTCTCTTTGTACGTACTATCTTTAACCCCTGAGCTGTGTAATACTACCTTATCTCTCACCTGTCCTCTATGTCCTGATTAAAACTTACCTTTAATGCCACACTTTGTCACTGTTAGGTACTGAACGTTTGACAACAAGGCGTTGTCTTACTGTTCTCGGCATTTTTGTTTGGTCCAACCGAAGGTTGCGCTGCGAGGTGACTATTTGTCTTTTGGCTGTCCACTCAAATGGTTTATTGCTGGATTTGGTTCTTGTAGACAAGATTCCACCCACTTTACTGGAACTAGTCTTAGTGATTTTCGGGAACTTAATAATTATATCTCTTTTGGTGTCTCATAATTGGATGAAACGGCTGTCCAATCAAGCAAGATGAATGGTCAGTGTTTTTGTTACAGGGATAGAAATCAAAACCCACGCAAGACGCTCCTCTTGATATCGTGTTGTGCACATAGCTACGTGCATAGGGTAGCTGGTCAAGAAGCGGTCAAGTTAGCGCGAGGAGAATTCTCAACAAACCAACAAATTTTAAGTGATGTTCAGTAAGCTTGCAATGTCGCACCTCTTTTATATGGTGGTACCCACTGTGATGAAAACGTATTTTGTTTGTAACCAGTCTGGTGTTTATTTTTGACGCCTGTCGCTATCACTAATTTCTGTTTAGACTGTGGTCTGAGATACGAATAAATTGCACACGTGTAGCACAGCAACATCAAAAGTGATAATGGTCGATTGGTGACACATCGGTCGGATGGGGTATGCAATATTGGACGTGGATATAAAGAGCAAGAACGGAGCAAAGTGCAGGAGGGGAGACAATTTGGTGGGGTTAATTAGTTACTCATAGGCATTGTAATTGCACCATCGTAGGTTGTAATCTATAAATAACCGCTCTCGCTTGCCTTCAGGTTTCTTTTACTTGGTGTAGTTGACTAACATCTAGACGAAAATTCCTGGTCCACAGCATTCAAGGAGGAAAATATTTGACGCCCTTTTTCTGATTTCAGAAGATTATTGAATTGGTGGCAGGCAAGAAGCAGTAGTAGCTGCTTGTCTTGGAAACCCCTCTGAGAGGTCAGGAGAAGGTGATTCATGGAACATAGAGAGGAGAATGAAAGATGTCTGGGCGTCTGACGTTTGGGAAGCCATTCATGCCTGGCTGGTGGTGGATCCTGACAGCATAGGGATAAGATGCAAGCCATGCAATAACTTGGAAGCATCAGGCTGAACACAAATAAAAACCGGCTGACAATGAAACTTAGAAACCTGGCATGCTGTACGCCGAACAAATTCGATGAGGACTGGGGAGAAAACTCTTGGGAGTGCAGTTCATGGAGACTGTCATATGGAAAGTCAAGCGGCTGAAACTCGCAACCCAGCACAACCCATGAGTGATAACCAGTTGGTAAATCTTTCTTAATATTTGATGTAATCACCAATAACAGCGCTTCAGAAATGCAGCAAGAAAATGGAATGAAAAGTGGAGTGAAGAAATACAGCTGCAGATAGCATGGATATCAACTGGGAAGGCGCGTGCTTCCCTGTAGGAGGGAGAACATTTAGACTGAAAGCGCCTCGGTTTGCGAAGAAACAAGCTACAGGAAGTAAAAAGAGCACTCTGATTCATCGCCAGGGCTGAAAGTAAAAAATCAGCTACGCCATCAGAGTTCGAGTGAATGGTTTGAAATTTATTTATCTAATCAATAAAATGGCCGCGGTTTTGTTGATAGTGCGAGGGCATTTTCTGAGTCTGGGGCCACTAGTGGCATCAATTCAGATCGTAGGTGGACTTTTATCAATGGTTGCGGTCATCTGTGGCTGTGTTGCTGAGACCTGAGGCCACAAAACCCACCGCACATTTTGAGCTTATGGTAAACTATGCCTGAGGTCGAGTTCTTAGGAGAAATGGTTGCTGTCAGTGAAACGAATGATGGGAATGTAATAACAATACGGTTCGCCTACCACGGATAGAGGTATCGGTAAAGCAGAAGTTGAGGCAAAAGAAGTCCCAAAGAAGGGTGCATACTGGATCACCAAGTTGACTACAGACTACCAGAGTTCATTCCTCGCGATTGGGAAACAAAACATATGTCGTAACGGCAATAATAAATTACTGATAAAATCTCCGATGTACCCTATAATCAGCTAGCTGCCTTCCTCTTCACTTGGAAACATTGGTAGGGCGTTAAGGAGAAAATGGTATTACTGAAGAAGCCAGTAGCTAGTACAGTTTATCTGGTGTAATATGAAGAAGCTGGACTGAAATGAGGGTCTCCGGCAATTTTTCACGAAATACCGAGTTGAAACAGTCCGCAATGCTGGTGACAAGATACTAGATCACCTGCGGAAAGACACACCGTTCGCACCATTATACTTATATTTAGGCCACTGGTAATCACCAAAAAGTGAGTCTGAGTGAAAGAAGACAGCCTTCATCATGCGAAAAACAATACCGGTACAGAAGAATCCTGTTTGACCTTCCAGGAGAGCGATTTTAGTATAAATAACTGGCAACATTATTGCCTTAGATTTCAACAGTGTAGAAGCGTACAGCTATGACGTCGTGATACTACAGAGAGAAGTCGAAACGGGTGGGCCAACACGCATGGGCCTACTGCTGACATACACAACATAACACAATAAGGGTATAAGGAAATCCCATGCAGTAAAATATACTATGATGATGAAAAAATCCACCCAAATTGACTAAGTTCGCACATTGGTTGAAAGTATTGATGATCACTGATGCCAGTCACATCATACCCGGCTTAGGTAATGGGATTCTGAAATGGTTTAGGAACTGTTCTTACCCAAACGGTGAATGCTGAGGCCGATCACTAGTTCCCTGCATCTGTAGAATACTCATGAATGTGAGGCCAAGAAAGGACACGGTAGACTAGCTAGGTAGAGGCAGGATATTTGATAGATAGGACAAAAATACTGATGCGTTTCGACCAAATGGTTAGAGGATAGCGTACGAGCAACCCAACATAATACGACAGCGCTTCTAATTGTCTGGATTCTTGTCCATGTAAGTTTAGCCAGTCCATTACGACCGCATCGATCAGCATCAATTTTGACTCTGTCAAAACCCAAGATATAGATTTTGCAGCATTATTTGCCACTATAACTGTTGGTAGAATTTCCTGGCATTGGATATCAAATTTGGAGCGACTTTCAGCTTCAGTGCTACGCCTCGTTGAAATTTTTTTTAACGCTGCCGTAAGTAGTATTTTGAGTTTATTTCATAATTTAGCGATAATTTGACTTCGTGTTGATGGTTAAATTCCGTAATTAAGTCGTTATCAGGTGTTTATGATGACGATGCATCTCAATATTAACATTCCTTTTTTCAGCACTGCGGCTGATATACGGTTCTGCTCACCGGTTGTTGGCTGCTTTATTATCTAAACTTCTAAATTTATACTTTGAAACTCCTCGATGTTCACTAGATAGCTAATGTGACGAACCGAATGTCTTATTTTCAAACTGCTGTCAATGTAGTTTTGTGTTATGTAATCACATAAATAAATATCTTTGTCATGTTTACTTCAGGCAAAAAAAGCAGTTTAAGACATGAACAGGCCCTAAAAATTCTTGGGTTTCCATGTGCCTGTATTTCTAACGTGGACAAAATCATTAGCTGAGGTCACTGAGTATTTTTTTAATGTCTCTTTACCTGGTTACTCTTCCACTCTATTAATCAATTTGAAATAAGTTTACACTATGCATCAAGCAGCAAAAAACATCTATAACGTCATATTTCAGCGCCTGTGGTTTTTATTTGCTACTTCATGACACCCTACCAATCTTGAGAACTATGCTTCTAGACTTCATGCACACGGTTTTGGCTACAATGCCTAATTCACAAATCGTGACTGTAACTGTTAAGCCATTGGAATAATTCTTCCTTTTGTATGCTCATAAACTGTAAATGCTAATAAGTTCTTGGCTACTTCGCACACTACACTTCTGTTCGTCAAAAGTCAGCAAGTTAACTTGCTTCAGATTGGCGAAAATTTATAGTTCCACCCATATTTCCTTCATGTTACTTAGCCATGTTGAATTACAGGGTTTTATTTTTTCCATCTCCTTGCGCTGCTCACTATTCACAGGAGACTGCACGCGCCTGCATTTCTCACTGGTCGAAATTGTGGACAAGAAACGTACTGGCTGTTTTAGTACTGGGTCGCATATCCATTCAGTCATAACCTCTTCCAACTCGGTTAACGCTCATTATCTCTAAGCAAGCTAGAAGGTCAGCACTGACTTGAGGCATAAAAGAGACACCGTCACATGACGTCCGCCGACATCAAACCAATAACGGACACAGATAGATCAAATTACTATCAGCCATCATTGGACAAGTCGGTAGAGGATTTATGCTCTTTCTGGAGTACTATTTTGTACTCCAATCACGCGTTGATACGGTTTCGTGTATGTTTAGCCCTTATTGGCCACAGGAAACAGGAGGTAGTGAAGCCCATCTCTGCTCGATGGGTAGATGAGGACGCCAGATATGCATTTAATAGGCGTTAGCTAGGCCTTTAGCTGGAAATGACAGCGATTCTCATCCTGGGGGAACCTGGCGAGATATCAAGTCTGCTTAGAAACAGCAGTAAAGACAACTGATAACCTACACCCTAAGATTAGCAAACATCATTGGATTGCCACGAAGTCATCCGAACTGATTGATTCGAGAAAAAAGTCCATCTCTCTCTGACCACAGTGAAGAGCGAAAGAGACTTAAACATAAGTTGACCAAGAGTATTTTCGTCGACAACGAACAGTGTGGGTAGCGAAAGCGAGAGATGGAGAGGGTATTAGCGTTGGGTAACACTCGGCAACTATTTAGACTTATTAAGGATACTAGCGAAAAGATGGTGGTGAGTACAACCATCACCAAAAAGGGTGGGATGCTGATAACCTCTCAGGACAGTCTAGTAGAACGTTGGGCACAACACTTTGAAGCACAGTTCAACTAGCCTACAATCACGCTTCAGTTGTCCAACATCCAACTTGAGGTTGAGAAAGTCGTATCGAACCTGAAACGATAGAAAGCAGCAGGACCTGACAATTTGACACCTGGAGTTTCAAAGATAGAGGTAAAAAGTTGCTAATTAAGGTGGTGGATGTGATACATAGGGTATAGGAATCAGAAGTAGTCCCTCCAGACTGGCATATTTCACCGATCATCACAGTCCATAAAAAGGGGGAGAAATCTTCCTGTGACGACCGTGGTGGGATTCGTTCAACTTGTGTTGAAGATCCTAGGGTCCATCGTTATCCGACTACTACGTGAAGCTAGAAGATAGCAAACTCAAAAAAACTAGTCAGGTTTGAGATACACCTGGATAAGGGTACACCAATCATATTTTCACCCTCCAACAGGTTCGGTAACACAGGCATACCTACGGCCAGTGGCCGACACATGCCATATTTCTTGACATGACGGCGGTATTCCACTCTGTTAACCATGAATTATTGTGGCAGTATCTGACTGTGAAGGGAGTATCAAACAGGTATGTAATGCTTATCAAAAATCTCTACTGGAACTCACGCAATCGTGTAAGGGCTTATGGAGAGTTGTCATCAGAATTGATGACAACTAGTGGGGTTCACCAGGAATGTTTATTGTCACCGTTCCTATTTTACTTCATCACGGACATACTAATGAACATAACCTTAGGTACTTCTGACTTCACAGGGATTGATCTACTTCCTAGACATCGTATGGTTGACTTGGAGTATGAAGACGATATTTTCTTGCCGGTTGCAGACCCTGACAAAATGCGGTGTATTCTGGATGTGTTGGTCAAAAATCTTTGAATGTTTGACTGGCATGCGTTTCGCAACTGTAAATGTAAGGCGATGCTGCAAGACTGGTCTACTGCAACAACCCCCAGTCTAATAATAAGGAGTGAAGTGGTAGAATGTGTCGATCACCTCACTTATTTGAGGATTTGCTTCATCCCATTTGGGGTGGCTGCTGACTGAGTCTCAGCTGGGATACAGAAGACCCGTTTGGTATTTACCAATTTGCGTCACCTGTGCCACCGACTAGCGAGATATTGGACTACCCATTGAAGGACGAATATAGTGCTCTTCATTTCGTTGTGTCTTATTATTTGGAAGTCATGTGCATGTGGACTCACCCATTTGAAAACTTGAGTTAGCATTCTTTATCCCAGTCTTGCTGACTTTTGAACCAAGGTGATATTACGAAAAATCATGATAGGTATTTTTATGGACAAAATAGGTGTAGCTCATTGCTTACTTCATGGGCGTGCGCATAGTACTGATTTACCAGGATAATACTATGAAATTCTTTGTGGTATCGCTTATGTGAGGTGTTGCACTTTTGCTTTCTTTATTGTAAGCATGTGATATGCCATCTGTATTCATAGATCTTTGCAATGCTTTTTTCAGTTTGTAAAACAGGCGAATAACAGGTTACTATGGAAACTGTACTTGAACAGCAGCGTCGCTATCATGAGGAGCGAGAGAGACTCGTAAATGAGTTGACTAAAGAAATGCTTTACCACCCTACTACGGTAAGCCTTATATTCGACTCATTGCCTTGTTTTAGCATCGAGAAAAATTAAATTCTGAACTTCGATTGAGACTTATGTATGATGTAGGTGGATATTTGTTTTATTCTATAGTTATAGAGATACTTTGATGTCACACAAGATCTGAAAGATCTCTATGAAGATAAAGATGGGTGAGCCGATTCGTTATTTGTTTTATATGAGGTTTTGCATAGCCTTCGTAAGGCTGATATTCAAACACTATCAGGTCCAAATGAATTCAATGAATTTTACGACCGATTAAAGCAGATTAAAGAATTTCACCGTAGACATCCTGGAGAGGTAATTTATTCACTCAACATCTGTTCTACTAATCCTTAATTAATATTAAGATATGCGTGCCAATGTCTGCTGAGTTTGAGAAATACAAAGAGATGAGAGAAAGACCAGAAGAAGCTAATGCTGTCCTCATTGACTTTTCAGATGAAGAAGGTTACGGTCGTTATCTGGATTTGCATGATGTATATAAGAAGTATCTGAATGTAAAAGGTGTCCCGGTAAGTCGCGTTTATAAATGCTCAACAATTCTGTTCAGCGCATAGATTATCTCACATATATCTCATTCTTTGATCGGCTATATGATATATCCCGTGATAAAAAGGGAATAGCTTACAAAGCGTGAGTACTTTTTACTTATGAATTTCATTTGCTAGTTACCTTGAAGAATTATTGGCCTATCTTGAGAACTTTGTATCACGTGCCAGACCTATAGTGGATTTGGAGGAGGTAAGACGTTATTCACTCACTTTTACATCTCTTTAGGAAACTAAAGAAGCACTTGCTAAATTCGAGACACAGTGGACCCAAGGAACATTTCCTGGTTGGGGTCGTGAGGCAGCTTCTGCTTTGGCTCACGGTGGAGCTCACTTAGATTTGACTGCTTTTACAGCCTGGGAAGAACTTGCTTCTCTTGGACTTGATAGGCTGAAATCAGCACTACTTGCTCTAGGACTGAAATGTGGTGGGACCTTGGAAGAAAGAGCTCGTCGTTTGTGGGCTACAAAGGGAAAAGCTCTCGAAGAGTTGCCTGCAGATCTTTTTGTAACAAAACAACGTTCCACTAAAGGTTTTGCCAAGACAGCCGCATGGGGTCATGTTCCTCCGTAAGCAGTATTTTTGCGTTTTCATTTTAAAAAGTTAGTTTAACAGAATTATTAAATCATTTTCTTTCGATTCATTTTGTAGAGCATTGTCCGAAAAGTTGAAAGAGATCGCTACGCTAGAGGCTAGAATATACAGACTTAGTGAAATCCTTAAAGAACACCGAGATGCCACAATCGAAAATGTGCAACGTCGTCAGGCACGGATAGGCTTTGAACGAGATGAAGATGATACAGATGCAGATAAAGATGCTGCAGGTGCAGAGAGTGGACAAAATGGAGGTGATGACGAAGATGATATTCCATACAATCCAAAAAATTTGCCTCTTGGTTGGGATGGCAAAGTAAGTCATTTCAGTCTCTAATCTAATTACTGTTCGCCTGTGAATCTCTGAAATCATTCTAAAGCGATGACACACGTGCTGGACATAAATAGAAAAACGTATACCAGTTCCTCTGTTATGCTAGTTTCTCACTGATATATGATTAGTTCGGCTTATATGATCGTATTTCACATAGTTACTCAAGTATTTAAACGTTTTAAGTGTTTACTATTACTTCATGAAACTTACTATGTTAGTAAAAGGATATAATTCATTTCTGAGACAGTTTTGAGAAATCATGAATGCTGTATCGTAATCCATTCGAATGGTTGGCATCAACTAGAGGAACAAGGGAAGGCGAATCGTATCTAAGGAGATGGTTAGTAGAAATAAGCAGACAGAATTCAGCAGATTATAAAGCATAGAATTGTTGGTAAAAGGATATTCATGTGCCGTTTAGTGTGTTCAGGCAGTTGAATGTCTGAAGCTATTCACACTGTAAACATTTCGGCTTCTTGAAATATGTTTAGTTGTAACTGGATTAGTATCGTTAGTCTGCTCATCTCCGCTGCACGGGTTTCGGACCCGAATAAACATCTATTTAAGGATAACCATTTCGTATAGTTTTGCCCGTATATTTAAAACATTTCGCCTGCACTGCAGTTTTGTGGATTGATAATATGTGTAGGATTCGCTCCAACGTTCCCTCTTGAGTATACAAATTCCGCATCGCTGATAATGATGACCACTCTCAGAAGATACCTTGTTTATAATAAGTAAATGATATAATTCATTCGTTACGGTTTCATATACTAAGCTGTAAACTACACCTACTGTATGAGGGTTTATGACACTATCCGATTACCAAGACTGGTGTGAATTTACGTTGCGTTTCAATCTAAATGGATAGTACAACATTTTTAGCTTAAGATTATTATGCTGTTACAATCTAATTATTCTCAACTAATTTTTACTGAAATGCTTAAATCTTCTACAAGTAAGTGTCCACTTTATATATTACGTGATTGTTTTCTAGCAATATCAATGAAGCAAACTTTTACGTCAAATTAGCGATCATAGTCTAATTAAAAAGATATTTATATGTTAGAGCTAGTGTATATCAAATTGTAGACACTTTCTATGGCTGTTTCAATAGATATACGAGGTGATTTGTGAGCATACTCGTTTTGAAAAAGTACAGCACAAGTAATGGAATCGCTGAGGGTTTTGAACAATCTCTGTTCACACCAACTTCTACAGCACTATAAACAAAACAAAACAACTATCTTGATAGGGAATTATAAGACTTGACTAAATAACTAAGATGTTCCTTTTTGTGAACACAGCGGGTGGAAGTTCATTTCTAGTCTAAATCAACAGTAGAAATGGACACGATAGTTTTTTGGTTCGAAGCGATCGGGAGGATGGCGTATCTACAACCTCGACAGAACTGATATCCCGCCTGGGATTCGAACCCACACTACCCAGTGTTGTAGTCATCGACGCTATCATTGAGCTATTCGGGTAGCGACTGACCTTCTGTAGCACTGGACTACATACATTGATTGGTCACGGAAGCACAACTAATTTCATGTTGCCTAGTCCTGAGTGCTGACCGAATCCTATCGATAGTATTTGCAATGTGATCACCAAGCGTGGAGGTTCAGCATTCCTTTCAACCAACTAACATTTACCAATGTACACCGTGATGTTTAGCCTCCTCACTTGGTGGCCACATTGCAAATATGATCGTTGGAACTCAGTCTGGACTCAGGACTAGACAACATAAAATTAGTTGCTTTCCCGTGACCAATCAATGCACATGATAGTTTGTTTTTTAGTCTTTCTTTACGTATGCAAGTAGAAGCCAAGCACATGTATAGATCTGTGTATTTTACAAAGAACAACGCCTTTTCATGTGGAGGCAAATATACTGTCTGATTATTGAAAACTCATTCGACGAGACTAAAATCCTTGGTCTAAAGTTGACTACTTAACCCAATGCACTACATTAAAATGCCATGAAGTCAACTGGAACTGCTATAAATTATCTCAAAGAAAATGTCATTTTAACTGACACTTATATGTTGATCTTTATTAATTTTCCTGCACACATTTAAAAGTGTAGTTTTCAGTAAAAGCTAATAATTCTTTGTCTCAAATTTAGCCTATTCCTTATTGGTTGTACAAACTGCATGGTTTGAATATGTACTACAGCTGTGAAATATGCGGTAATCAAACCTATCGTGGTCCTAAAGCTTTTCAACAGCACTTTTCTGAATGGCGACATGCTCATGGTATGCGGTGTTTAGGTATCCCAAACACAATACATTTTGCCCATGTAACAAAATTGAAGATGCTCTAGCTCTATGGCAACGTATAAGAACAATGAAAGAAGCTGAACGTTGGCGTCCAGAAACTGAAGAGGAATTAGAAGATTCCTCTGGTAATGTTGTATCTCGGAAAACATATGAAGATTTAAAACGTCAGGGTCTTCTTTGAATCTGAACACTGAATTTTACTTCCCTCCTTTTTTTATATAATGTACACTGATGAAATACAAAAGTGTTTACTTCAATTTATTGTTCTTGTTTGTGCATTTAGATGTATGGTCATATGCTTCAGGTTTGATTATCATGACTTTTGTTAAGTGTAATTAGTGTTTTCTGAACTTTTAAAAAACGAAAGAATCATTTATATTGATTATTTATTCCTTATAGATCAGCTTAAGTCAGTATTTCATCGGTCACGTGTCATATGTAAGATGATGCTCAAGGTCTGGTCTACTGCAAGTACCCCCAGTCTAGTAATAAGGAGTGAAGTGGTAGAATGTGTCGATCACCTCACTTATTTGAGGATTTGCTTCATCCCATTTGGGGTGGCTGCTGACTGAGTCTCAGCTGGGATACAGAAGACCCGTTTGGTATTTACCAATTTGCGTCACCTGTGCCACCGACTAGCGAGATATTGGACTACCCATTGAAGGACGAATATAGTGCTCTTCATTTCGTTGTGTCTTATTATTTGGATGTGAGACATGGGCGTTAAAAGTAGAAGACATGAAGTGGTTACAGAGTTTTGATCACAGGTGTGTTGGTAGTATTGGTCGCGTTTTATGGAATCATGGTGTGATGAATGTTGAGGTGAGGCGAAGTGTTCTAGAGAAGATAGGTAAATCGATTGATGAGATTGTGAGGCTTCATTGACTGAGATGGCTTGGATATGTGCTGTGCATGTCGAGCCACCACCTACGTCTATGTGGAATGCTAGTGGGAGTTGGGTTAGGTTGAAAGAGGCTTCAGGGTGGCGAGACGAAGACGTAGGACTAGTCGGTAGAGTCTCTTACTGTTGACCTGAGTCGTGTGGGGAAGATGTAGACTGCCTGACTGGAGTCCCAGAGATGAAGGAAGCAGTGGTGTTAGGACTCTTGGTGACATAGTCTAAAACTGGTCTGGATGGGGCAGATGCATTCACACGGTGAATATTTACAGTAACGTTTATCTTCAGATTGTTTGTTCTTTCACACAACTTTGTCTGCTTTTATATCCTTCTTTTTCTGTCTTGTTGCTGTTTGTATGCTACTATGAAGTGTGGCAACTTCAACGATTCACTTGTTTGTGGGGTTCTAGGTTTATTTTATCTGTCTTTGTCATTATTGTTTCATATGCAGTAGGTAACCGTTTTTATGTCTGTAGATAAAAATGTTGTTGCTTGTTTTTACCGGTCTAGGATGTTGATGTTCAGTTAATAAAGTCGTAATTTTGAGGGTCATTGTATTTATTTCACTTTAGATCTCTGAGTATTGCAAAGCGTATAAATCTTTCGTGCATTGAAAATCTAGTTAAACAGAATGAAATATCGTGTTTTGAATAAAATGAGTCCAGATCGGAATCGTTGTAATTTCATGAAATAGAGTGAAACAAGGAAATCTGTATATTGTTAGAATTATCTTATTTTCATATACTGATGAAAATGACAACAATTCATTGAATCCATCAAAAACTTTCAATTTGTTTTCCTTACATAATTTGTGAAAAGTCGTTAGTATAAATTTTACGAATCAATATAATTAGGGAGAGTTATATAACGTGGTAACTACGTGCACGTCTATCATCTAAGCTGGATCAAATTTATTTTTTTACGAATGTTGATACTATCCCTCAGTAGGTGCAGTGGGGTTGAATTTGCTCACCACTCTGATACATTTTGAATCTCTAAGCTGATGAGCCACAAACTAACAAAGACTATGTCAATTCTGTATAATGTGAATGATGGCTGATAATTTGTTAGCTTTGTGTCTGCAAAAAAGATATAGATGGTTTTTGCGATGAATTCATTGAGACAGAAAGGAATATGGATGCAGGTGTTAGACAATAATCACACCATATCATGAGCTTCTACGAGATTTCCAAATTTTTTCTGCTGTATTCTGACTCAGTTGACTTAGCAATAATGATTTCATCACATGATAGGACTTCAGTTTGATCGTCACATTGGTGAAAAGTGGACACTTTTTAGGATGGTTAAGTCTAGTAATTTCTCATGCGTTTTCTGCTTTTCTTTGTGATAAGAATCATCTTCAAACTTTTATGTTCAACTCATGTGAGTTGTCTACATCAAATGATGTTCAAGGATGCCCATTATCTCCATTCTTATTCAACTTCATCACAGATGTATTTATAGTAGTCTCCCTTTCTTCGTCTGAATCCACAGGGATTGGTCTCATCACACGAGAATCCTTAGTAGACCTAGATTACGCAGGTGATATTACTTTTCTGGAAGAAGACACTGACATGATACAGTCTTCTGGCAATTTGAGAACGTTTGAGATGCGTTTCTCGCCACCCAAATGCAAATTGTTGCTCTAAGACTGATCTCCAATGGTACCTTGTTTAACAGTAGGATTGAAGTGGTTGAGGGCGTTGACTACTTCACTGAACCGGATCTGCCCTGGAGTGTCGGTCAGCGACTGATGAAATCTCTGCACGAATCCGAAAGACTCACTTGGCTTACGTCATTGATGTGGTATCCATTCGCTCACTAAGGGTTGAGTGTACTGCACTACAGTTTGCGCTCAGTGATATCTAGCCGAATGCTCTAACACGTCCACGGGTGTTCGAATACAGGTCCTCTGGTGATGCACTTTCCTGACATTCTTTTTAGTGAATGACATTGTCATAACATCACGAAATTTGACTTAAAATCTCTGTGAATACCGTCATCCCTGTTTCTCTGGTACAAGCTCATCGAGCCCTTCTATCCTTGCTCGTTCCAGGTTGTTAACAGCTCCCTCAAATTTCGCAAGAGTTGAAGGACTTATGTCACTGTTCCATTCAGGATTCTACTGGATAGTCGACATTTCAGTAGTAACTGAAGACCATTTGAGTGCTTCTCAAATCCTTCCGCCAGTTATCTCAGTCATCTCCTTTTCTGTTATAATCCCACTAACTATTGGCGATTCTACTAGTTTCTTTCAGTCTACGTATGCGTGTACTGTTATTTATCGCAGTGCTTTTCCCATCTCTCACTTTCGCCGTCCACCATTGTTCACGGTCATAACGTAGACTCTTCGTCAGTCTGCGTTTAAGTCCCCCACTATTCATTGTGGCCGAAGCTTTCAGAACTGCGCTCATTTACACCCATTAGTTCAGAAGCTGCTGCTGAGATTAACTGATCCCTTCTAACTTTTTTGTATAATTTTGTTACGTTTTTAAGGCTGTTTTTTACAGCAGAATGGAGATGGCACCAAGCTTATTTGATGAGTGATTTCTTTTTGTGTTAGCTGTCCAGTTTGTTCCTCTTTGAAGGTAGCGTTAGTACTGTCATCATGGAGCTGCAGTTGGAATGGTTTTACACTCGTTGTCTGTCTAGGCTGAGATTTTTGCATGCTTAAACGCACTAGGGATTCTTGTTCGAATATAAAATAATGATAACCGATACCCGTTGCACGCAGGATGCCCCTTATGCTCTAGTTGCCTAGTGGATAACGCTTTGTCACTCAAGGCGATGGGCGTGGGGTTCGAGTCTCAGTGGGAACATCATCACTCACTGGGTTGCAGGCACATCCAGCCGATGAGTCCCATATAGGACGAAATGTGCTTCATGAATTCCACTGCTAACCATCAACAAGTAAATTGCAACTTGGTGGTGTTAAAAACTCACACATCCGGGATCTTTAGTATCGTGAATTTGGGTTTATGGGATAGTAAATCAGGATTCGACTTTTAATAACGATATAGATCATGAAGGATTGTATAAATTACCACCTGCCTACTTACCATTTCTAGTAAATGATGAGTACTGCATTCTTCATTTCTTAGTTCGGATATTTTGAGTGAAGCGGAGAACAGTTATCTAATTTTCTCATTGTGACTGACTGTTATTCGTATCTAGTTGGTAAAAAGAACGATTAGGAACCTTAGTTTGGTTTTCAAACCTTTATTTCTGCTTTCTTAAACTACGCTACCCTCTAGGTTTTGTTTTCTTAGTATGGTTTATTCCGATAAAGTTAATTAATCTATTTTCGAAGAATAATTATGTATCTGTTTCGTTTACAGATTGTAAGATAGTACGGAGTGTTACAAATAAATAATGGAGGTTGATTTATCAAAGATAAATGAACCTTTAACTGCCACAACTTTCAATAGTACATCTGAGTGTAATGATGCCAATCCAAAAGATGATCGTATTATGGATACCGGAGAACCAGTTCTTACAGATTGTGATGACAATGGTCCTGAGGAGGAGAGTTGTACAGATTGTGAAGTGAGTAGTTTTCTTTTTTATGATGACTGAATGTAAAAGTACTGACAACTAGTTGGTCATCATGTTTTACTGTCAGGCATTTAAGCAAATATTTTACACTAGTATAGGTCAAATATTTACTTTTTTGTAGCCTTATATAATCTATTTACCTATTTATTTAATACAATGTGAACACAAAGAAACATATCACGTTAAATAATATAATATCGTACATTGAACAGAAATAAAAGTGAGGTAGAAAAGTAATACACTGATGAGAGAAGCATTATTATAAGATACATCCAAGGTAGCGTTCATTATTCACCAACCCGCTACTGATCATGAGTCTTAAAAGGGCATTGTGGTCTTTTGAATTAAATGAACAGGATAGACGGATATCTTAGTATCGTTGCTCGCGTATTGTGGACTCACCATGTTAGCAGTGTTGGGTTCAGACGAATAGTTCCAGGCAAGATTGGCAAGTCGATTGATGAGGTTGTGAACCTTCGTTAACTGAGGTGACTCGGACATGTATTGTACATGCCGAGCGAACGCCTACCTCGACGTGCTATACCATAGGAGGTTTGATTAGATTGGAAGAAGTTTCAGGGTGGTCAGACCAAGACGTGACGCGTGTCTATGAAGTCCCCGACTGTTAGTCTGAACGGTGTGGGGGAGATGTAGACTATCTGACTAGGTTCCTTGCGACGATAGAAATCAGTGGTTGAGGACGCTTGGTGACATGGCTGAGACTTTGCCATGATGGCTCGGATTTATTCACTCTTTGGTGTCCTCTAAAGTTTGAATATTTGCACTAGCCTTTATCCTCAAAGTAGGTACTCTCTTGCAAATTTTTTGTGTACGTTGATATCACTCTTTTTCTATCCGAGTGTTCTTTGTATGGTACTGTGAAGTGTGACAGGTCGAACCGATGCACCAGTGTGCGAGGTTCTACGTCGATCCTACCTATCTATCTAGTTGCCACATCTCAGCAGCATACAAAGAACAACTGGGTCGAAAAAGACTGATTTCAAAGTAGTTCACTGGACAACTTGGAAAAACTAACTTATCTGAAAACAAGTATGTTCTTAGTTTATGGTTGCTATTATGTTTCAAGTCAAATATATTCTTCATCATTACAGGTACAGGTACCTAGATAAATTGATGGGTTCAAATCTGATTCTTAGGTTGCTGATTGTTTCAGCATTTTTAGACCCATATGACACATGTCTATGCATTGAGTGTACAAATCCTCTTCAGTTAGGATTAGTTGTTAAGCAGGCAAATAACGTAGGACTTGGTACAACTGCCTATCGGTTCACTATGTTGCACTTTACATCAAAACGTCAAGATGGAAGCAGGAAAACAGACAAATAAAAATGATGTAAAGATTTGTGAAATGTCACAAGGTAAAGAAAGAAGGCAGTAAAAGAAATAGTAATATATGGTATTATGATATACAGTGAAGATAAAGCATGATTACATTTTCAGCATTGTAGTCAATTTTGAACCAGTTCAGCAAATATTTATTTAAGTTACTATACACACTCCGACTATGAATTTCACACTTCTGTATTCTGCTCATATAAACGATGAGAAAATCAAAAGATTGTAGTCTTTTTTCTAAATTATCCTACTTTAGCAAAGATTTTTTGTTGGAGAGCGTTAACTACCAGCAAATGTTTAATTTCAAGTTGATATTCATCATGAACTGACATCAGTTGGACAATCCTTGAAAACCTGGGGGTGAGGGTGGGCGCTGGACGGCTGTTTTTTCGTAATCTAGGACTCCTCAGTAGTGCGCACTCATCACCTCTCCAGGGGTCGAATTAAGAACTGTCAGGTCTCGTGGAGAGCACGTTACCATTGAGCCACTAAGTCGGAATCTAATTGTCCTCGATATAGTCTGGTCTTCATCCACTGCTATTGTTGATGGTTGCGCACTGCTGAAGAGTTCCACATCATGACAAAACCGCTGTTCAGTGCTTCTCCAAGTGATGTCAATCCATGATGAATACCAAGTTGAAATCAATAAATCCTCACGAACCTTCAAAATGTTAAATGGTTAACTTGACTTGAACTTTTAAATCATTTGTTTTAATTTTAATCAAATCACAACTTCAACGTTTATTGCAATGTTGGAATTTTTGGATATCATGAAATTGCACATTTTCTACTCTAAGTGTTTCATACTGATTATGAATGAAATTGGTCAAAACCACGTTTGTAACGAGATTCATACTTTGAGGGAATTTCTTTTTGTATATCAATAGATTGGTATATTAATCACACTAAATCAACTGAAATTGTATCCAGATATTTGGTTAACCATTAAAATTTGAACAGTGTTAACTAAGTTTGACAACAGGATAGTTTAACATCCATCCTTAGAGCATATCACTTATTTCTTAGCACTTCGATGTTCTTGTCTAGGAAACTGACCCTCATAGAACTCATACTAACAGTAAGTAGTTTAGATAGCTCACTTTCGCATCCTTATCTGATTATTGTTTAAAGCTTGTTTGATGAAAGTCGTAGATGTCTACATATAGACAGTATAAATGAAAACTATCGACCAAGTTACATTATTCGCCTAAAGCCTTACGTTCAAATAAAGTTGTTTAATTTCTATCCTGTTATGTGCAAATTATGCAGTATAGGTGATCATCTCTTGCCATCTACATCCTGTGATACTAACGATAATATTACAACTGCTTTCAATCATTGTTGACCAGTCGAATGTCTGATTAATTTCGTAAATGATATTTAGTCTTCGAGCATTCTATGTCGGTATTGAATATAATTCTGACATGATGCTTATCACAAACTAGTTTTTTTCCGCATCAGCCCAGTTCTTGAATAATGATAGTAAGTCTGTTTTTTTAAAAATGTCACTGTACTGTTTAATTCTTAGCTATTTTTACACTAGTCAGTGGAAATTCGTTACAAAATGTTACCATTACGATTCGTGAACGAAAAGATGTAAAAAGAAATGATAGACAGACAGACAGAAAAATCAACACAGAACTGTTATGATGCGGAGTTGTGAGAACAAACGGAAATACTTAACGATTGGTAGTCGAGGATTGAGACGATGCAACCCGAGTGATTCGCAAAGAGAAATCAGAAGGCTGGAAACCAGATGAGTTTGTGGTATCTCGGACTGAAGCGTTTATTAGCGAAAACTGACCCTATTTATAGAGTTTACAATAATCTTAAAAGACAAGGAATCATTAGTACATTTAAGAGGTAGGAGCTAATCAGAACAGTAGCGGGTCATACGAAATATGACCCATGAGAGAGAAAAGAGCGTGAATAAACAGTTCAAATATATACAAAACTGTAAGTATGGAATATAAGGATATCGACATCCCTAACAAGAACCTTGTACATAAGTACATAGCTTGAAGCTACCACACTTCACAGATGTTTAAAAATAACGAGCGGAAAGAAAAAGAGTGATATGAAAGTAGACAAAGCTGTATGAGAGGATACACAATTTGAAGATATAGAAAAAAAGATAATTCAGCGAAGAAAATCTTTTTCAGTGACATCATTCTCTAAAGATGTACAATTGTATTCATATACATATCACAAATGTATAAGAGTCTATTACTAAACAATAGGATATAATTGCATCAGTAAGGTAGCGTTAAAAACTGAAATCAAGAACGGAAGAGAGTTGCGTTATGGTCTTTTAGACAATGGAAATAATGAGAAAGGCAAGGATTTTGACAAAGGGAGAATTGTTGGTGTATGTGAAATACTAAAATTAAGTGTCACTTGATTAGATATAAACAAAGTGAAGAAGGAAACAAAGTCATAATGAAGGTAATCTAACTAATTATAGTGAAATCGAGAACGATTTTGAATATGGTAAGAACCTTGTCGGAGAGGAGCTTAGACACACTTCTCCTACACGTAGAGATCAGGCTTGAATTAGTGAATTGTCAATGCTTCTGCTGTGCACAACTGTCGAAAGCCTACTCCTTTTGAACTATTCCTTTTGACTTGGTAAGTGGCACTAAAGGAAGACTCTGGTGGAGACAAATGTCCAGAGTTGACCAAATGTTCAAGAATTGAACTTTTGATATATTTAATTTCTCCCCTCGATAACCATGCAGGATAGTGCTCAGAGATCTATGCAACCAGCTCCACAGGAGCAAGTAAGTTTCTAGACACCAAGTGGCAACTTGTCCTTAACGCACTCCGGAACCAATTGGCATCTAGATAAGCTGATCTGTAGCTTCGCAAATAAGAACGTCTTCTTCAGCTATTTGGCCAACCGATTCTTCTGGATCTCTGCTGCTGAAACCCACGTTCATAAACAAAATGCAAATATTCAAGCTTTAGGAGACTCTAAAGAGTGAATACGCCTGCGCCATGTCACCAAAAGTCCCCGACCACTGATAAATTTCATTTCAGGGACCCCAACCAAATAGTCTTCACCTCCCTACATGGTTTAGACTAATAGTCAGGGACTTCATCAGTTGGTACCATGTCATGATCTGACCATCGTGAAGCTTCTTCCAACATAATCTAACTTCTCCTAGCATGGGACGTCAAGATAAATGATGGCTCGGCATGCACAATACATATCCAAGCCATCCGAATCAATGAAGTCGTCAGCTAGATGACCTCCGGGGAGAAAATCAATCCCTATGAAGTCACAAGTACCTAAGGTTATGTTCATTAGTATGTCCGTGATGAAGTAAAATAGGAACGGTGACAATAAACATTTCTGGTGAACCCCACTAGTTGTCATCAATTCTGATGACAACTCTCCATAAGCCCTTACACGATTGCGTGAGTTCCAGTAGAGATTTTTGATAAACATTACATACCTGTTTGATACTCCCTTCACAGTCAGATACTGCCACAATAATTCATGGTTAACAGAGTGGAATACCGCCGTCATGTCAAGAAATATGGCATGTGTCGGCCACTGGCCGTAGGTATGCCTGTGTTACCGAACCTGTTGGAGGGTGAAAATATGATTGATGTACCCTTATCCAGGTGTATCTCAAACCTGACTAGTTTTTTTGAGTTTGCTATCTTCTAGCTTCACGTAGTAGTCGGATAACGATGGACCCTAGGATCTTCAACACAAGTTAAACGAATCCCACCACGGTCGTCACAGGAAGATTTCTCCCCTTTTTTGTGGACTAAGGTGATCGGTGAAATATGCCAGTCTGAAGGGACTACTTTTGATTCCTATACCCCACGTACTACGACTGCCACCTTAATTAACAATTTCTTACCTCTGTTTTGAAAACTCCAGGTGTCAAATTGTCAGGTCCTGCTGCTTTCTATCGTTTCAGGTTCCATACAACCTTCTGAACTTCGAGGAAAGTAGGAAAAAATAGCCTTATTTCCATGATTTTTTTCAAAATAGAAACTACGATGATAATCTTTGGATTACATTTACCGAAGAAAACAATGCACCAAACTACTGAGTACACAATTTCGATGAAAGTATCAGTTAGACAACGTCAACTTTGAATTCTATCTTTCTTTTTTCTTCTTCCCAGATCATATCAGATTCAGATACTAGGAAGTCAACAGAAAACCCTATTCCAACAGCTAATATCTATTGTCCTCCCAATTGGGCTTTAAATTGTCCACCAAATTTAGACTACAAGCTGGAAGTAATTAAAAATGGCTTACAACTCTCAGAGTGTACAGTCAACTTATCATCGAAAACATGTGAAACAAATGATGAAGCATCTGTTTATGATAATAATGGTTTAAGCTTTTGTCTAATTGGACGTCAACCTCAACCAAACTATGCACCATTCAATGATATCATTGGACAATGCATGGTACTTGCTCATCCGTCTATAAGTCGATTACATGCTGTTTTGCAGTATGGTAAACCGCCACATTCTATAGGTCATGTACCTGAAGATGAAAAAGATACTACTGGATGGTATCTACAAGATTTGGAAAGTACTCATGGTACTTTCGTTAACAAGGTTATTATATATTTTTTTCTGAAAAGTATTTTGTTACGTTTAATTATTACTATGTGAAAAAAACGTGAGTTATCAAATATTTATTCCGTTTTCATGAAACTTGTTGACTCAGCGCTGGGTACAATGAATAATGAATACCCTCGTTATGCATCTTACTATGTAGTCTGAGTTAATCAGATCGAATCGAAACCCACTCAGCAATCTTGTATATCTTCGTGCAGTAGGTAGTAAGTCATATCCAATGTGTGGGGGTTAATGATGCTAATTGGCTGCTCAAACCTCGGTAGGTGGAGAAGGGTTCGAACCCGTTATTCACTGGTTCAAAGTTAACTTTCTAAACCAGTGAGTTAATAACACTCAGCTGTAGCCTTTTTCTGATTGCTTTGATGAACAATGCAGAATTCGTATCTTCAAAGGAAATAAGCGTTGCGAATATTAATGTCATCTGGAGTTTGTGGGAATTGTTTGATTACAAGGTGACTGAATATTACTGTGCTCGCCACAAGACCTGTAGGCTATGGGTCGATTCCTGGCGCGATCATGGGTACCCACTGCTGAGGACCCACATTCTGGGATGAAACAGCTACCTGTTGTGGTTAGGTTTTCAATGGTTCTCCAACTGATGTCGTCCAAGTACCAACTTCAAAAATATTATTTTGTTGGTGTCATCCCAAGGCTGGTTTGTTGTATTTCTAGCTTGTTGGTCATTAATCTTGATCGTGAAGTTCCTTATAAGTTTGTTGGCTCAAACTTATTAGAAGGTTTATCTTGTCTTACGTCGTGAGATTTTGATTCATCATCATGATCATCATCATCATTATCGACATAGGACCAGGCATTACTGCGTAACTGTCCGAGTTACCACAGTTCATATCAGTACATCAAGTAAAAAGGCAGTGAGAGGCAAGATGAAGATAAGCAAATTCAGTCCAAAAAAATATAAAGTACGAAAAAAGAGAAACGAAGAATGACAAAATGGTGAGATTCAGTATAGCGTCGTTAAGATGAGAATAATGTATGTATACATCTGCGCACTGACATCGGTTCTGAGCCATGTGATCTACCTGGAGTCTCCAACCACTGGTTCCTTTCTCCCGTGTAGCGAAACCGACCAGTCTGCATCGCCCCACGTAGCTCAAACCAACATTCAGACACTTCATACATTGGTGCCATGTTTCAGTTGGTCACCTCGGGCCTTTTTCAGCCTGAACCTACTTTCGATAAAATGATACTGATGGTCGAACTACTTCATCAATATTATCTATAAATCTTTGCTTATATTTATCGAGAGTACCGTACACATTGTATTAGGTTAGAAAAAACTAGTAAGTATGGAATTTGTGCTAGAGTGTAATTCCATATTAGATATGTCTATTTTGATATAGTACACAGTGATATGGTCTTCTTTCCTAGATGACGTTTGAGCACAATTTATCACTCATATTAAGGTGATACAAATATGAGTAATAAATTGTGCTCTAAACGTCATCTAGTGAATAATACTATATCGCTGTATTTATATCAATTAGACTGGTGTAATATGCGATGCGGAAACTAGGCTATTTTTTGTCATCAATCTGTTAAGTGGGCTGCTTTGTATTGAGTAATACCTATTAGATAAAAAGTTAGTTTCGCTTACAATTTTACTTTCATGCGACTCAACGCGGTATACAGGCATTTGTGAGTTTACAAGCTACATTTAGTGTGAAGGCTTATAATGCTACCTGGTGGTAGGTGCATTGGGACTCTTTCCTACGAGACACCATCTGGAAACCGAACATCTAGGCTGATGAGTCACATTTTTTTACCAAGTAACAGTTGTGAATGAGGATTTCCTGTGCAAATGTTTCGTCATGGTCTCACACAGTAGTATGCGGTTATGTTTCTTGGTAGAATTATCGAATCTTACCGTCCTTGAGCGATTACCAGAAGACCTTGGACCTACGAACAATAATAATGAAATGAAATATGCAGCAGATATGCTTTTTTGGCGATATCTAGGAACTTATTTATCTTTTAACCCACGCTCTGAAAAGTTCTCTCTGCTGTTTGTTTGACACGTTATGATTCAATGGGTATTGCGTAATTACTTGGGATTCAATATACAGTCTAGGGAGTTAACATATGGGTTTCAGAATATATAACCTAATACTGACACACTCCAGTGGAAACTTGTTGTCGATAACTTTTACCTTTATATATAGCGAAGTCACATAGAAAATCCCGCAGAATTAGAGAGTAGTGAAAAACGATAGTATGATAAATAATTCCCTTCGATTCAGTCAAAATTATTATCATCAAGGTTCTGCATGAACCTAACTATAATCAGCAAAATCCTCTAAATGATTTAAAGCTTCTCCGAACGACCGCACAGTAAACTAGCAGCTTGAATGACTAGGTCCTTTGGTAATCGCTCAAGGACGGCAAAATTCTATTTTTCTACCTGTTTCTTTACAACATAGAAAAATAGAACGAATTTCCTATGAAGTATTCAGAGTTGTTCAATGAACTGACACTTCATGCCACATATAGCTTGTATCTTTGTTTAAACAACAAAAGGCTTTTCTGGGGTATGTGTATGGTTCCGAAGGCGTTCCGGAGGAAATACTACTGAAGATTGTTTCAATATAACTGGGCATATGTTCATGATTCCTTTTTTATATTTATTTTACTAATGTCGAATCGAGATAAAACTATAGAGCTACCTATAAACTTGTGTACTTAGCTATGATCCATGTCTGTCGAGTTATAGAGAAAAATACAAGCGATTTTCAGAATCATAATTACGCTTGATTTGATAGCTGAATAACTTAGTCTTTGAAGTGTGGTATATTTTGCACATACAGTTGGCTGTATATTTCAAATCTACGCATTGCACTTTATGGTTGCTGTTATTGTATATCTTCAGTGTTCCGTGGAGCTATGGCTCAGGGGTTTAGAAAGATGACTATCAACCATTGCGTCATGGGTTCGAACCTCTCACCACCTACCGAGGTTTGAGCAGTTAGGTAGTATCACTAGCCCTCATACAATAGATGTGACTCATTGCTTGCTGCATGAATGTACACAAGCTGACTGGGTGCGTATACGTCTCACTTATTCTTGTTGTCGAATTTCTCCAGTATTGAGGAAATAAATGTTTATATTCCAGTAGATGACATGTTATTATTTCAGTGACTGATTGAATTCTTGCAAACTTATTCAAAGTTATCAAAAGAATCTTATTCAATCTTGTTATTTTTCAAATAACTTTTAAAAAGAAAACTGTTCTGATTATGTTCTACCTCTATTTTTTTTAATCATGAAGAGACGCTTGCCTTCTGGACGGTATGTTCGTATTCGTGTTGGTTATGTGTTACGTTTCGGTGGTAGTACTCGTTTACACATTTTTCAAGGTCCAGATGAGGATACAGAACAACAAACTGCACAATCTTGGTTTGACTTAAAAAAGTCATTTGAAGAGCGTAAAATGATGGCTGTTACAGAAAAAAAGGATACTTTATCGTCTAAGAATTCTCAGTCTGTCAAGTTGGAGTGTGACTGGGGCATATCTTGTAAGATTATATCATTTTTACTGAAGTTTTTCACAAAAATCTTTACTTGATTCTTTACTGAGTTTTTAGGTAAATTAGTCAATCTTTACTTGTATCCCACTTGGTTTATTCTCATTTAGTGTTTTCACTTTGACGTCGGGATCCAAGAGACGATTGTAGCAGGTGCTTGGACACTGAAGGTGATATGAATCAGAATTTATCACCTTGGCACATTCAGATTCACTCTTCATCTCAGCCGTTATTCACTTATCCCTACGGCTTTCTGTGTCTTCTGATTATGCCTTATATCTTGATATGTTCATGTGAAATGTAGCAACTTGAACCGTTCAACGGTAGTGCTAGGTCCTTTGTCGATATTGACTGGCTAAATGTAATAAACTGGCGTATAGTAGTTCACTGTAACAGAAATACCCGTCCAAACTCCTGAAGAATGTTTGATTAAATCGTTTGGTGTTATCTGAGCTTTGGGGTTTTCTCTTGGAAGTTTCATCATCAGACAAGGTGACTTCACCAGCATTTACTTCACATACTTCGTATATTCACTTCTATATGATGTAAACGCTGATGAAGTAGCTTAGCCTGGTGGTGGAACGTCCACAAACAAACCTCAAAGTTTGGAGAACACCAGACGATCATCATTTTCATACTGAGCTACAAATCTTCTCTGAAAGTTCGATTTGTTTTTTGTCTCGGTTATCTTAATGAATTTCTTTTCCATATAACTCTCCAGTTGCAAATGATAATACACCTTCTGTGTGAAGACTACAGTAATTTTATCACAGGTGTCTTCATTGTATTGCTTTTATGCAATAGACCACCATATGAACATTGTTCAGGTTATGTGTAGAGTACTGAGCAAGAAAGGCAAGTTGGTCGATGAGGCTGTTAACTTTACTGATTAAAAAGATTTGGATATGTTGCACATATCGAACTTCCGCCTACCTTGATGTGTAGTATTGAGCAAAGCCGGATTGAGTTAGACGAAAGCTAAAAATAATTAAATCTAGGTGTGGCACAAGTCCACAAAGTCTCTGACTGTTAGTATGAGCCGTGAAGAGATATATAGGTCGTCTTGTTTAGTACCATGAGATGATGTGAATCAGTGACTAGAAATTAGTAACACCGGTGTATATATGTTTACTCCTTTTCTTCCTCGAATTTGATGATATTTTCAGTAACCTTCATGTAGTTTTCCAGCTTCCGTTTCGATTTTCTTCTTCTTTCTGTATTGTAAAGTGTGGTTACATAAGCTTAAATCATTTCTGTGAAAGGTTGTATATGGGTTCACCTGTCTCGTATAGCTTCACCTTTTTACTGTTGACAATTTGTTTTGTTGTGGTAAGCAGTAATTTGTTTCATTATGACTTTGAAATAATGATGTTCAATTGCTGGAGATGAAAGAAGATAATTCCTTTGTTAAATGAACTAAAACAGTTTACAATTATTGTCGAAATTTCCTTTCTGTAATAATGAGTGTAGGTAAGTAAATCCCTGTCGAGATGTTACACATTGATTTTAGCATCATTAGATGACTTTAAGCCTACTTACAGAGATTTGACAACTAGACACTATGATTAACATTCATTCAATAGGTGTGGCTCGTGGTCTTATTGCATAATTTTTTCTAATCAGTAATTTGTATTATTTTTCAGATTCTTTTAAAGAAAGTAGCCATAAAGATATTTTCTCGATTTATATGAAACTATGACCCATGAGTCTATTTTCAAGGTTACTAATTATTGGGCCACATATTTCATTCATAGATTACACGTAATTCAGTTTAGGCAGCTGCATAGTATCATAAATCTTCATATATTAAATGGTCTTCATATCCTTCATCAAGTACTTGAGTTGAATTCACCTTCTTCAACATTTTTCGGCTGTATGGATTTCCCAAGTACAATAAACTATAGTTGTCATTTTAATTAGTTGTGTCGCAGGGAATCACCGTCTCTTAGCTAACAGGGGGATCCATCCCATCACTCTTTGTTCGAACTGAGGTATTTCACTATATGTGTATAGACAAACCACATAAATCTCAACGGTTTTCAGCTCCTTATAGCATTTATATTATATTACGGTAAATATTGACTACTCAGATTACCCACCTTAATTAAATGCTTTAATTTCTTACTTTTTTTTCTGTAAAATTTATTTTAAATCAATAATAAATTGTTTAGTAGAAGATCCTATTCCTGAACCAATCCCAAGTTTACTACAATCTGGATCTTGTTTAAGTTATGAAAAACTCTATCGAGATGACCCAAAGCGAGCACTGAATGCTTATTTTGAACGAGAGGGTATTGATCCTGTACCGCAGTATGAATTTGTTGAAGCACCTTTTGGAAAACAACACTGTCGAATTGAGTAAGTTGTTTGATAGTCAATGAACAACAAAAAAGTGTTTTCCTTAGAAATATTTTCATATCAGTGATCATGTTATCAACGCTATGTAATCTATGTTAAATTATTAAGCATCATGTTTAAATATATCTGAACTATCCTTGGATATGCTGCCTAATTTAAAAAAGTCTTTACTGCTTTTTCCCTTGAAAATATATTTCTAGACTGGTCAAATTTATTCCATTTTTACACGTCATGACGTATCAGAATTCAGTATAGCAGTGGGAAATTATAAGTATCAATTAGCAACAACTAATATATACCCGTTAGATAAGTGATGACTCCCATGCCCCAGTGGTCTAGCGAGGTAATGCGTTGACGTTTGATGCGATAGGTACTGGGTCTGAGTCTCAATGGGGACATCACACACTGGAGTGCTGGTATATCCAGCTGACGGTACACACGTCCTGAATTCCGCTACTAAACTACTAAGTGGACTGAAATAAACCTCTCTTATTTGGCATAGATACTTTCTAATTAGCAGCTGTGAAACCATTGAAACATGAGAGCATTACACAGCTGTTTGTGATCATTCTTAAGTGTGTACTATGAAGGCCATATATAAGAGCTGAATGTAAATCATCTACGTTCATACATTTACTCAAAAATGTAGTCAGTGAATAAAATTAGAGAAGTAATTCATTAGATGTCCTGTTTGTCTTACAAGATCCTATACATCGAACTACAAGAAAGTGATTAAACGAACGAAGTGTTCAGATAAACTTGCTATCGACCAACTAAAAAGATACAAGTAATTTTCTACTGAAATAATTATTTGTTACCATATACAATGCTACCGAAGGTGTATGTAAATTCTTTGTAGGCAAGGTAATTGAAGTATCTTCTGTTATTCAGAAGACCTTTTTAATCTATACTGTTTTACTGCTAAAAAATAAAACATGCGATGCAGCATTTTTCACCCGAAAGCAGATTTTATCGAAAGTTTCAATGGTAACTTTGTTTCTGAAGAAAAAATCTCCTGTTTTTGATATTCTCTCACAAACAAGGTTCCATGTATGTAACCATACCATTTGAACGGATACAACATAGCTTCGATCATGCCTTAATTTCATTTACTACCCAGTTGAATGATTCAAGAATATAATTAGTAAGTCATTAGCAAAGAGACGTCTCTTTCATTGATAAGGTGCAACTGCCAGAACAATTCTGTATGTTAAGAATACCAGTACTTTTGAACATACACTACTAACTAACTGTTTAACTATCGAAATCAAGATTTTTGAAGCTGAATTTAAGCTTATGATTCAGTAGTTAAGAACAGTTTACTTAGTTGTATTATTATTCAACTAATTATTCTTTGATACTTTCACTACCCAGTTCCCGACTAAGGGTCTGATTCACTTTCCAGTGGATGAGTTTATCCAGCATGTTTATATTTATAGACCTCTCAAGGTTGTACTCATTATTTTTAATGCTAGTAGCTTTTGTGAATTATTTTAATACTTTTCTTGTTTTCAGATTACCGTTAAGTTCGGGTACTGTAACTGCAGAAGCTGTTGTCTCTGGTAAACGCAAGGAAGCTGTTGTTGCATGTGCTTTAGAAGCCTGTCAACTTTTGGATCGTTTAGGTGAATTCGATCCCGATAAGGTAAATTCCAGAGTACCCATTTAAAGCATGTTTTGTACACTTACGAAGCGATTATTACTCTTTATATGTGTTTTGCTGCTTCCCATATTGAAATGATCTCTTGACATAACAACATTGAAGGTGGGGTTCATTGGTCATGGATTTGATCTCCGCTTCATCTGCCAAGGTTTAGGCTACCGGGTGGTATCATTAGCTCTCACACCATAAGTGTGGTTCATTGCCTTATGCATGAATGTGCGCAAGGTTTCTGAGTGGATCTCTCTCTTTCTCTTGTCTCTCTCTCTTGCTACAACAAAGATATCATTTCTTTTTTGGATTACTATTAAGAATTATTCTCTTCGTTGTTATAACTTGTAGTTTCTCATTGTTTTTCGATCTGAATCTAATTCATCGGTTACTAACTGGCATACGGGCTCTTGTACAGAGGAAGTTATACGTTACAGATGAGTCTTAAATCGGACAAAACATGCATCAAGTATTCTACTCATAGCTTCTTTTCATTATTATTAAGAAAAACTTTCATGTTCTCTGTTTTCAAGAACAGTTCTTGCGATTAGTTTTGAGGATCCAGCTGATATGACAGGCTTAGATATACAGTATTCACCTGTGAATGGATCTTTTTAAGACCCGATTTGCACCCTTACCTAGTTTGATAATATGAATCATGATAATTGCTTCACTTAAGTGAAAAGTTACCGTAGCTTGGATTGGTTGATTATCAGCGAAATCGTTGTAGAAGTGTAGTATTCTTGGTTATCAGTTTGACTTACCTATTGGTTCATTTATGACTTAACATAAACTAATCTTCTACGTGTATAGCACATGTGTGGTTTAACTTACCTACGGATTTCTTAATCCTTTTAATTAACACTAATGATGCAGTTTCGGCTTAATTATCGTTTAAAAAACAGATGAATTGACTCAAACCTATATCTGTTTCTAGAACACAAAAAGTAACAATAGATTTGTAAGTAATCCCAACATGTTTAGAAAGTGAAACAAAATCCCTCGAAATGTTTCATTATGTAAGCCACAGAATTCAAATTCATTTAAGACATTCTAAACAATTGTAGTTTGGATATTAGTGATCATAAAAATACTTTAGTAATGCGACAAGAATACGAAAAGCATACTAAATAGTATTGACTTACGCGAAAAAGATTGTTCAAGTATACACAAAAGTAACCAATAACTTTTCAGCAATGATTTATAGGTTTGAGTCCCTCACCGTCAACTTTAGCCTTGACAACTGGTTACTATCAGAAGCTCTCACACAACACTTATACCTTGTTTCTTAATGTATAATGCCTCTGTTGTCTTACATACATACATACTTTTTGTACAAAAACGTAACTGACTTATTTCCTGATTCATTATCCCAATTCATATCTTGGAAGTAATTCTTTATTTTCAGTTTTAAATTTTTTTTTTCTCTCCCGATATTTGTTTTAGATCGTTCTACCTCATCTAAATGTGTCCGATCACGAGCCTATTGGGAAGAGAATGACTATTATTCTTCTGATGAAGACACATTTATTGATCGAACTGGAATTGTAGAGAAAAAGCGTTTAGATCGTATGCGTCAGTTAGGAGTCGATGATGGAGTTCAATCAGAAGCAAAGCAGAATGAATCAAAGCGTCAAGCAAATGAAAAAGAATAAATCAAGACTCAACCATGCTTTCTATGGTATATTAACTTTTTAGTCACATATATATTTGCATAAGTACTGCAGATGATAAGGGTTATTTTGCGTACTTTTTTAATTTCCCAAACATACAGTACGTGAGTCGTACTGAATTCCCACAAGTTGGTATGCCTAAGATGTTATTTACTTTCTTCAAGTTCATTTCTGCTGACATCTGTTGGTGCGCTGTACTACACTGTGATGTTCCACTCAACCTCCATTTAATATATATATATATATATATATATATATATATATATATATATATATATATATGCGTCATATTATGCTACTGTGACACAGTACAGTAATTATGTTGACCACCGTTGCAAAGCAATGGTTTACTGGCCGTCAGTGATGTCTGGTCAATCAAAGGATGTATTGATATATCAAATTGTTGACGGCCTTCAACTGATGGTAAGGCTTCGAGAGAGTTATTGTTTGAATAATGTTGGTTAGGTAGATCGACTCTTCGTATAGGTTCTCAGCCCTATTGTAGATGTCACTATTATGAATACACCTTTTGCCATTGACTTCCTAACTGAATGTAATTAGATGGATTTAGATAGAATACATTGTCCTGTTTTGTAAAAACGTTAATAAAGAGAAAACATTTCAATTTTTTTGATATATACTAAATACTGTAGTTTGAGGTTTATGGGGATTTTATGTTTAAGGTTTTATTCATCGCGGACTAACATCAATTGGAAAACCATTAAAAACCTGGGAGAACTAGACAGCTGTTTCGTTCTTGTATGGGTCTCCTTAGCAGTACGCACTTACAACTCCAGTAGAGATCGAACTCAAGACCTTTAGTTCGTGATGAATACAACCTTAAAAATGAAATCCTGATAAACCTCAAACTACGCAATCGTATAGTACTCGTTAGTGATATTCTTCGAGAAGGATATCCCGAAGTTCTAATGAGAAGCTGTGACCAGTGGGAAATGAAGTGGATGCCAACTAAAGACATTGGTGAATAATTGCGCTATATGACGAAATTATAGAAGTAGGAAACTGTGAACCATTAAACTTTGACCCAGTGACTGTATGGTTAACCCGTTAGCCGTTGCACCCGAAGGTCCTGAGTTCAATCCCTAATAGGGCAGGGTTGTGGGATAAAAAAGATGTTCAATGCTCCTAGGTCTTGAATGGTTCTCCAACTGATGTAAGTTCGCGATGAATACAACCCTAAAACTATTTAACAGTCCGAAAATATATTTTCATAAAACTGATCTGGTTTTTACTTGGTTGCACGTGTTGTGATGTAACACGCTTATCATCTCACCTACATATGGATATTAACATCAGCCCTACGGTTTGATCTTTGATGAGAATTATATTACCTAAGGTAGTTCATGCCATATTTACTCAGCACCACTATACAGCTTTGACCAATGCTAAATCATTTTTGATGTTATGATATTGAAACTAATTTGGAAAAGATTATCTATAGATTACTAATTCTCAGTAATCTTAGTAATGATTGGAACGTAAAGTAGTAATGTGCTATGAAGTATTCCATTTGTCTTCTACAGATTTTGTGATTTCATATAACGTGTTCTCCTAATTCATTTTCACCAAGGCAAGAAAAATAAGCCTGAGAATGACATTGACGCCTTACACAATTGATTAGTTTTTTCAACTGCTTTATCAAAATGGTTTCCGTTGGAAACCACCCATCAACCAAGATCAAAAGATGTGATCTACAGATCACTCAGTGATTTCTTACTACTTAAGTCGTTCAGCAGTATATTTCATTAATTCATGACACTTTTGTGTTAGAGATCGCACTTTGTAATTATAGCTGGATGGTTTCCAACAGAAACCCTGTTGACACGGGTCTATCCAAGTCAGCTAGCCAGATTCAGACTATATGAACCACTCAGTTTGTTCGGGTACACCGCCGATGAACTGGCTAGATCTCAAGCGAGCGAAACGACTATCCTGTGTTTAGATTACTGTAGTATGACTGGCGAAATCTACTGATCAGTGTGGCTGGCTTCTAACTACTCAAGTTGTTCAGTAGTATATTTCAAGACGAAGAAGGTTGGCAGAATAAACAGAGCTCCTGTGTATTTATCTCGTGACTTTTTAGTTGTAAACAATCTGCAATGAACACAGAAATAGTATGAGATAGAAACAGAAATATAATTCTCTGTTCTAGAACAAAGTAATCATTTAGACCGGAACAGATAGATATAACGTGTAGAACCTATTGAAGGGTGTTAACAGCACAAAGGCTGGTGATAATGTAGCTCATCTATAGATAGTTATAGAGAGTTCTTAAAGTCTTAACAGCGAATGTAAAAATCAATGAACTAATCACCGTCAAAATGATGATAATAATAACCAAGTAATAACGAAGTTGCTTATCGATTTATCATTTGACAGGGTGTTGATTTATCTCTTCTGTGTCCCAAATAGACTAATTGGCTTATGAGTGACTTCGAACTGTTCAGTCTCAGGTTCCTTGGATAATTTATCCTGGGTGATGATTGAAGGTGAAATGAAAATTTGGACTGCGGCTAGATTCGAACCAGCGACCACCGGGTTTCCGACCCGATGCTCCACCAACTGAGCTACGAGGTTCGCCTACTGACCAGATTTTTATTTCACTTCAATCACCAAAGGTTTTTCTCGTCTAGCATATGAATTCGTGACGTGTTACTATCGCTTAATCGTACTCATACTGGTTGCCTAGTCAGTACTTCTCATCTCAATCCTACGGTCCAAATTTCATTTTACCTTCAATCATCACCCAGTATGAAAAGTGAATACATCCATTTCCCTGTGCTTATACGTACATGTGCTTTGATACGTACATACAAATTCATAAATAGTTGCAGTTAATGTTTAATAGGTACTTGTCCATTTTTGACTGACACAGTTACTCGGTTCAATGTCCATTATTCTCTGACGAACATATTATAAAACAGTTATCTGTTAGCAATCATCCTTATATCAATTTACGTGGTTTACAAACTATAACTTCAAATAGGTGCTGGTAATTTAAGTCACTTGGCCTGTTTACTTTGTTTTAGCTTTCAGAATTGGAAAAAATTGGTGAGGAGATTGTTTCCATTGAGGAAGAATTAGAGGCTATTGATCGAGGTATAAATGTGTATATATATGTATAATATTTATACTCTTATGTTTCTTAATTTCCCCTACTACATAAATTAACATTTGATGAACATCAACATCATCGTCATTTAGTTGAAAAACGCGATATGTGATCGATGAGTCCCATGTGAGATGAAATGCATATGTAGTTACAGAAAGCAGCAGTATTACGAACAGTACTCTTTTCTATACTAGTGAAAAGTGACATACACTTTTGTTAATGTGAAGTTTAAGGCAACTTCGCTTACAAGTTATAAGGTCTCATTCACTCAATTTTTCGTGATTACTATAGATGGATTGTGAGTTCCAACGTGATATGATTGCAAGCACTTTAGCCTATACAGATTAAGAATCCTTTTATACGATTTTATCTGTTGAAAGCTGTTACGGTTATCTTTTAGTAGTTTCTAGCTTAATAAAAAGTAACAATCTGAACGGAGAATATTCTTTTCAATAAATTCTCATTAGATTTTTCACTTATAAAATGCATTTGTATTGCGTAAGAACAAGCCAAGTTTGAGGCAAACACATTTTCAAGATGGTTAGATTTAGGGACTGTAAGGAAATCGAGTTTAATTCTTTAAATTTGTCAGTATTTGGATGACCTATATACGGATGAATAATGTAAAAAGAAAAACGAATAATTAAGACAAGTTTGACCTTTATTTTACTGAAGGTCAAGGGAGAAATAATTTCTGAACGTGATCTTTCCGAATGTACAGGTTCAGGTTTGATCATTCTCATTGCTATAGCCTCAGCTATGTTAATACGTTGGCTACCTGCACATGTATTGTTTTTAGAATACAATGTGTGACGCTGAAAGCTTTATTCATATCCTTTAGTCTCAGGTTGATCATTGACCGACTGCTGAAAGATATGCAAATCCAACCTGGATAAAACATCTTATTGACTTCTGTAGCCAGCTAATATAAAGTGAATGTAGAGAAGACGGTGGTGATGAAAATACCCAAAAAACAACAGGATCAACAACAAGCACCAATCACCATCTACGGGCGAAACCTAAAGGAGGTAGGCTCTTTCACCTACCCGCATTGACAGCATCGTTTCAACTACAGGTGGCACAGGTGAAGATGTCAAAGCCAGGATCAGAAAAGCAAAACAGGCTTTCAGTAATTTGAAATCAGTGTGGAGATCTACTGCACTCAGCACAAAGAACAGGATCCGGATTTTCAACGCTAACCCAGTCAAGTCAGTGCTGCTATATGGTTCAGAAACTTGGCGCGTCATGAAAGCACTCCAACAAACTACAAACATTCATCAGCAGCTGCCTCCTACACTCGCTCGATACTGACTATCAGATGGTCAGAAAGAATAAGCAACAAAGAACTCTGGAAACGAACCAACCAAGGTTCTATCAATCAACAAAAATGTGGAAGGGAGTGGAGATGGATTGGATTGGGCATACACTGAGAAGGCCGACTGGGGATATCACGCGCCAGGCTGTGAGTGGAATCCAAAGGGGAAACGACAAGTTGGGCGTCTGAGGCGAGGGTGACATAGAGAGATGATTGAGGAAGAAATGAAAGCTTGTGGGCAGTCGTGGCGCTAGGTTCAAAAGACTGCAGAGAAGAGAGTGCACTGGAGACGTGCTACTGAAGCTCTATGTTCCACTGGGAACCCAAGGGGAAAAAATAATGATAATAATATGACGTTTTGGGATTGTAACTTCTGCTTATTGGTTGTACGTTTAACTACTTGTTACTTAGAAAATACATATCATACAACTCTGTATTACCTAATGTTTGCCTTCATATAATCTTACTAATGGATTCTCGGTGACATTATTCCTATTACCCAGGTACTGGTTATATAACTTGATTTCTTTACAGTTATGTTTATTGAAAGAAGCATCAGTTTATTAATAGTTGGTTAAGTTAATCTAAATCCCAAAAGTATTGCTATATTTAGTAAACTTACATCGTGATGTGATTGAAAGCTTTCTTAAATAATGTTTACTCTTCAGAGTAGGCTTTCAATGTAAACCAGTATGTATGATGATATACCTAGTTTTACTTATGCCCAGTTTGTACATATCATTGAGTCAAAAATAAATAAATAAAGGAATAAAAGGGGTGGGTGAGGGTTGTTATTTAAGTTAAAAGTTTATGTGTTTTATCAGACGTTTGTATGAAGTTCAAGCAGACAGAATCAACATAGAACCTCGCACACAGGTGCATCGGTTCAAGTTACCACATTTCACAGTAGCAGTATACAAAAAACAAGTGGATAGAAAAAGAGTGAAACTAGAGTAGAGAAAGAATTATCAGGGAATGACTAATTTGAAGATAACCGTCAGTGCAAATAGTTAAGCTTTAGATGTCAAGGAGTGAGTACATCTGCGCTATTGTAACTGATTTGCAGCAGTATCACTAAGAGTCCTCAACCACTGATTTCTTTCGTCTGGGGGACTGCAACCAATAGTTTACATCCCACACTTATGTATTTATAGTTTTACATTGATGAACTGCGATATATTTCTATATTTACTCTCATTATACTCTTCTATGTGTTTCTTTTAGAGTTTTCATCAAAAGAATCTAATCCATCTCAACTAGATGAGTTAGAGGCCTATATGAATGCACTGAAGACAAGTAAGCTTCATCGAAATTTCAGGTTTTAAAAATTTATTTATTTTTTTATTGAAAATCTTATATCGTATGAGAATCTTCGTTGTATGTCAAACAACAGAGTGAAGCATTGGACTAAAAACCCGGTGGTCGCCGGTTCGAATCCGGCCGCGGTCCAAATTTTCATCTCACCTTCAATCATTACCCAATATAAATAGAGTATCTGTCAACGTGTTTATCAGGGGTTTGTTAGCCGTTTAATCATTTTTGTGGAAGTTCATATCAGTAGATATGCTAGTTCATCATATGGTGTTTCCTGGTTTATCCTCTTCATTATCCTCATATCATACTAGATGTGGACTTAATTAAGTCGACATCTAGTATGATATGAGGATAATGAAGAGGATAAATCAGGAAACACCATATGATGAACTAGCATATCTACTGATATGACTGATGTGCACCTATGGCGTTTTGATCTTAGCATTCAACTTCTAACTAAAAGTCATGAATTCAAACCTTGCGTCAACTATTAAGGTTTAGGCAACCACATGTTATTGAATCAACTCTCATGTAAATGGTGTAGCTCATTGCAAAACACTCCAAGTTGAACAACTGGTTCACTATAAACTGAAACTCACAGTTAAAATGTGTCGAAACGATAAAAATTGCATGCAATAATTGTAGATCGGCCTAAATGCAATGTATTCGTTTGATCACTGGTATTTCCTTTACAGCCTAATGGCACTCTAGCTGACATCACGGGTTAAGACGAAAGAAAGTCATATGTTCATTTTATATACAAGCATTCTAACCAATCCTTGTCTTTGTCTAAATTTTGAAGACCTACACTGTTGTTTTTTCTGACATTGGTTGGGATTGTTCAAATAACTGGAAAGCTTTCATTAAATTACTACACAAAAATCACTTAGTGATGACTCACTGCTTTTAGTGATATCAGGATTTACAATCGTATCTAAATACTACATATACGTATCGATGAAAACGAAATTTTTCATAGAAAGCTGCACAGTATTCAATTTCGATGTTATGGGTGAATCGATCAGCTCCTATTGGTACATGGCTTCATGTGCAGATGCCTTGATATTCGCGGTAATTTAACTTTAATACTTAATGATGGGTTGTGGTTAACAACGGAATTCAAGATGCGCGTTTCGTCACATTTGGAACCCCACGGCCTCCTGATAAGTGATGTTTTCCTCTCCTGGACTGGAACCCGGAATCCATTACTTCAAAAACCAGGTGTCATCTACTAGGCTACTGAGTCATGGTAGCCACTCTCACCATCTCACAAGGAAGCAGATACCTCCAGATGATGAGTACCAAACAGGATAGAAAGTGTGTCTTGGATTCTGCTTCTGACGATCACCCATCATTAGCGTTAAACGTAAGTTGTTGGGAATATTGAGGCATCTGCACTGAAAGCCATCTGCCACAAGTGTCCAATCAATTTGGTTCAGTCAATAACTCAATATCACATCAAACTACACCTGTTTCACAAGGAATGGGAAGCATGACTCAGTAGCTCGTTCTATGAGGCGGCTCGGATTTATGTTGCATATCCACTGTCGGACGATGTCAGCTGAGGTAGTTTCAGATTGGAGAAAGATTCGAGGCGACCAGACTAAAACATCTGTATCTTCATACTGATTTTCGCTATTATCTCACTCCTCCTTGTTCTCTTTTTCACTGTTTTCTACCACTGTTTACTGTTTTATTCTTTATCTTTTGTCTTGGTGCATTTTCGCTTGATGTGTTGGTGTCAGGTGTGACTGCTTGAACCATTACGCCGTATTATCAGGTCCTATGTTGATATCGTCTGTACCTGGTCACTTAACAATATTATTTAATTAATCAGTGTTATTCACTGCAAAAAACTATCCTACCGATAATAAACAATTGTGATATTTTCCGAAACATACTAGAAAACGTTGTACTGCCACTTCTTACCACACTACTTTCTACAGTTGAGAAGCCAACGGATATTTGTAGATGTCATGAAGTAACCAATAACAAATGATTTGATAATTCTATTTTCTTTTTAGGTTCATCTGATCGTGTGAAACGTTCTAAACTGAAGGCTCGTCTGATCTCATTACGTCAAACTGAACTTCAACTTATGCATCGAGCTGGACTTACTCAATTTCGTAGGAATCTCAAAAAAAATAATGGACAAGCTAATACTTCTGAATATATCTCATCGTCGGAAGCCGCCGCAGCGGTTAGAGCAGCTAAGAATAAATTGAATAATAATAACTTAAACTCGGAGGATGATCAAAATACTGCTACTTCAGAACAAAAGTAAGTATGCTTTAGCTAACTGTTTTACTGAAAATTATAACCATAAAAGGCGATGATTAACAATATGACGACATTATTTTTACTATCTATCAGACAGCATGTGAGGTAAATGAAATGCTCGATGAATAATCCTTAAAGTGAAGTGTCTGACAGAATTGATCAGAGACTGACAATGACATTCGTTTTGTACTGAAGAGAGAAGATATATCACTCCTCTAGCTTAACTTCCAATTGAATGGCTTAGTAAAGTCGTTGAAGTGGCCTGTCGCTTGACTGATGCTGAGAAGATGACTTAATTTCACTAATTAGAGGAGGTAAAAGACGTAACAAGGTTTCCGTAGGTGAACCTTCAGAAAAATCATTATCATATATCCCTACCCATAGCCTAATATTGTATCAAAGCTGATCATTCAGTTTCCATTTTTTAGATTAGGAGCCTATGGATTTTATCACTTCACAAATAGTTAGTTGTAGCTGCATATGACTCATATCATCCAACTCTCTTGTAAATGAATTGTAGTAGCTAACCACTAGGATTGTTTTTTGCAAAAAGATGTATACATAGAACTGTTGTTAAGCTTTGGTACATTACCAGCTGATTTCATTCAAACTAAGGCTATCTCAAGTGATTTTTGAATGATGACTGATTGATAAAATCAACGTAGAACCTCGCATACAAGTGCATCGGTTCAAGTTGCCACATTTCACAGTAGTGCACAAAAACAGGTGGACCGAAAAAGATGAAGTGTGAGAGAATAAACAATCTGAAGATAACCGGAGTAAATACATCTGCCTCATTGTGACCGTTTTTCAGCCATGTTAACAAGAGCACTCAGCCACTGATTCTTATTATTTGAGGACCCCAACTAGATGGTCTACATCTCCCCACACGACTAAGAACAACAGTTAGGAACTTCATCGACTGGTGCCTCGTCTTGATCTGGCCACCCTGAACCGTTTTCCAGCTAATCTAGCTTTCCCTAGCATCGCACTTTGAGGTAGGTGGTGGCTTGGCATGTGCAGTACATGTCCAAGCCACCTCAGTCGATGAAGGCTTACAACGTTACCGATGGACTTGCCTAACTTGCTTAGTACCTTTCACCTGACGTTAACATTCCTCACATGGTGATTGCACCTTACGCAGGCAATGGTACCAAGACACATGATCAAAATCATGTAAGTGTTTCATATCTACTGCTTTCAACGGCCATGTCGCACAGCCGTGCAGCTGGACAGAACGGATAAGAATGAGTAAATGGTCACATCAGTCATTAAGTGAATAGAAGGTCTTCCGGATACTTTCGTTTTATACGTCGGTAACCAATTGTGGTCTTCTGGCTTAAATCTCGTCTTGATCCAGATTTTCATTTTGATCCTAGCGATCACCATATTATATGAAGATCCTTCTACCAATCTACGGCTATCTCATATGTTCTTATCAACAGTTGATCAGTTCAATAAGATGGCTAGCTAATTCAGTTTATTTCAACTCATATTTCAAAAGTATACTAAATATGTTCTGTCAAATCTAATAGTTTTTCCTAATGTGTCCAAGACACTGCTAATTTTATTTATTTATTTGTTTGTATATTATCATATCTTTAGGATTAAAAATATTCGAGCTGATAGAAATGCATTGAAGCGCAGTTTACAAAGTCATGCCCGGGTAATGCTATTGTTGCATTCTATTTTCATTCATTTTCTATGCAAATGTTGAAGAGTATTATTGACGGACTGAGTTGTATATCATGATAATGTGTAACATTTGAATAATCCTTTTTATCATATGAGTATATTATAATGATTTCATTCATTTATTCAATATCGACATAAGACCGGGCTTTACTCCATAACAACCCGAGTTGCTACATCTCATATCACCACAAGTAACAAAGTAAATGAAGCAAGGGAAATTCGTCAAAAGCTGCAGTAGAAAACACTAAAAGAGAGAAAGGAAGCATGGGGAAATACTGAATTCAGTACAGCGGTTAAGATGAAGATAATGTGTAGATATATGTACACCTAAGATGTCGGTTCTGAACCACATCACTTACAATCTCCAACCACTGCTTTGTCTTATCCGGCTAGTTAGCATCTCTCAACAAGGCTCAAGCCAACAGTTGAAGACTTAATGCAGTTACTCAGAATCAGATTAGCAAATTCACTACCGAAAGTTGATAAACCTGAGAAACTGCAGTCCGAAGTGACATAAATGTTTTTTATGTAGATATGTTTGTATATGCTCAAATGTTTAGGACGAAATTTAATAGTAATACAGTCAATTTTGTCATTGGAGAAGCTGAGACAGTGGAAGTGGACTAATTTATATTAATAAATATTGTCATATCTCCACCACCACACTTCGTCTTGGAAATACATCAATCTTTTAAAATGACTTGAAATCATGTAGGCAAACTAAGTCATCAGTATACAGATTATGAAACAGTGTCCCTTGCAATATAATCACATCTGTATTATGATAATTATTTATGTGTAAAATTGACTGGATGTAAGCAACCTTATTCGGTAAAGACCTGCAGTTTGTGCTTAGTATTTCTGTAATAGTCATTTGCTCTATGGTCATACGCTTGAGATGTCATTCCCATTCACCATAGTGATTTATCTATTTTTCAACCTCTGGAACGATTTCTTGTAATGATTTTAGAAATGTGCGAGAGTATATAATATGATTACAAGACATAATTGAATGCTTAAAATAGTACATAAAGGAGAAATTTGATGAGCAATATTCCACAGCAAAACAAGGTAGCCCAGAGTTCAAGCAGGCTACCAGGTAAGTGTTGCTGATCACAACTGTAGAAATATCAAAAGTCTGAACTTCAAATGAATTAACTATCGGTATGTGTGGAGCCAGGTTCAAAAGACTGCAGAGAACAGAGTGAAATGGAGACCTGCAATTGAGGCCCTATGTTCCACAAGGAACCCCAAGGGACAAATAATAACAATATGCACTGAATTTGATTAAGAAATGAACCATAATTTTCTTTCTAAATTTCTCAGATAACTAAAAACAGCCAATCGAGTGTAATATCAAAGTCATTAGGGAGCCAATGAATTCTTGCCAATAAATGACCTGCTTTATTTCTGTTCATTACATCACTAGAATTTAGGTTAAGTAAAATGTTGCATGTCTTTTTGCCAACACAAAGTCTTGGGCTAACTTATCAATTAATTTCGCAGCATTTGAACCGATCAAGTTCGATAATGTAGATGATATTTGGACAACAATACACCTTGAAGTAAACCAAGCTAAATTTTTTTTGCAATCTCTAAACGGTACATTAAAATTAGGATTTAGTCTTATGAAACCTTCATTACCTATGGTTTATCCACTGATTCCTTCTGAACATTATGCTGCTACACATACATACTTTGTTGATAATAATCAACAGTCATGTTGCTAATAAGCTCATTGCAGTTGTTTTTTTTGTTTCGATTTATGCGCGGCTTGTTCAGCAAGCCATGGCGATTATTATACGTTGGGTAAATATCGAAATTCAAAATGGTTTCTTTCGATTAGAGTCATAACTACAGAATGGCAACAGCCGTTCTATCATCCTAAGGTTTCTTTCTGTATACTTCTTATCAGTTAACTCCAAGTTTTTAGATCAATGGTGACTTAACATTAGTCGTGCATATTTCTACCGTCTTCGTCGATAAATGTCTTAACTAATCATCTTCAATCTTTTGAGGCTTTACAAACGCAGATAATATTCGATACATCGTCTGTAATCGGCACTTGTGTCGAATAGTTACGCACTTCATAACTTATTTGTTTCTTGATAGAGGGTGTATTGTTTTCATCATAGAAAAGTAAAGTGGTGAATGCCAAGGGTTCATCAGCAACCCCAACACTCCTCTAGCTGTCTACGTAGGTTGAAAGGTTAGTTCAGTAATTGTTCAGGTGCATGCATATCCAACTTATTCTGATTTGTACTTAGAAGGCTAACAAAGTATGTTTGATGTTCTTGCAGTTACTTCTGTCCATATCTGATGAATTCAAATAGTTGTAAGACGGATAAATACCATTCGTACACCTTCAGTGGATCACAGAATATATACGGATAAGATATTAGGTCATCCTCAAAGGAACCTTTTTGATATTCGGATAAAAGTGAAACACATTCAGATCGCTTCAGGACTACGATACAGTCTATAGCTTCGCAGAAATATTTGTTTGTGATTGTTCTTTAGAGTCACCACCATACTGCTGCAGCTCGTCTCCAGGTCCAAAGTTTTCCACTAGTTTTTGATTAACCTCCGTCATCTTTACATACAAGTAACTGAAGGTGTAACCACAGAGCTCTAACAATTATATTATATATATATTTTATATATTATAACTGCATTTTGTTGTTTACTTTCTAATATAAGATCGTTTATGTTTTGTCTCCAGTCGCTTTATGTGTCTCAGAAGAAAATTGAGGTGGATAAACCTTTTGAAGTGGAGAATGATGATGAGATGATAATGAAGAAAGGAGGTTGTGAAAAAGAAGAAAAGCAAATTGACACTGGTCCTAAAAGCCAACCAGAATCATACGACTTGTTACTTACAAAAAGTGATTCTAAAATTAATGAATGCTCAAATCCTGTTACTGAATCACCATTAATTTCTGCTGGCAAGTCAACAGACAATCCTCTAGATTTTCAAAAAATGAGAATATGACTGTCAATAATGATGAAGCAGTTGTAAAACCGTCAAAAGTTATCCGTGAAAATAAATTATGTAGGTTCAAAATGATTTGACTGATGTTTCTGTAAAGTGTCTGAATAAATCATTAAATATATCACAAAACTTGTACGTAGTAAGTAACCTTGAGTAGTTAATTCTTTATTTAAGCCTAGAATATTTAATAATTTTAACAGAAATTTTAATAACTCGAAATCAGGCGCTAAGTACAGGTTAATTTACCAGGTTGTAAGCTATGCTAATTTTGTTCCGACTTGTCATAACAACTCGATCAGCTAGGTAGAAATAGACGGAGAAGGATTCGAACGCATCGATTCGAAGCTATCTGTGCAAACTGATAAGCTACATCTTGACAAAGCGTTTCGTAGACTTTATTATGAATCATTAATCATAAAAATAATAATCACTAGTTATGAACTGTTTAATTCAACTGGTTCAATAGAAACTTTTAAATTACTGGTTGGTTAAGGTAAACAGTATTCAGTGAGAACCTATATGATTATATTTGAATCCATCAATTGAATCTGGATTTATTTAGTTGGCACGTTGCTGAGTTACTACGACTAAAAATGGGTATCAAAACAGATTAGATTTCTAGTCTTTACCGTCTTCAAAGTCTCAGACATTTTATTTGGTCTACTTTTCCTCTTCCTGCCTATACACCCGGTGGTCGCTGGTTCGAATCCGGCCGCAGTCTAAATTTTCACTTCACCTTCAATCATCACCCATTATTATACACCTTTGTCTACCATGACACTTTCTTATCTTGATTTATCTCTCTGACATGTATTGTATAATACATTAATATTAGATTGTGTTTACTGCGTTGTAGTCCGTTCTGTCCTCGTATACGGCTGAGACATGACCGTTCAAAGCAGAAGATATGAAGCGGTTACAGGGTTTTGATCACAGATATCTTCGTAGCATTGCTGACGCCTGGTAGATTTAGCCAGTGCGGAATGTTGAGGTCAGGTAAAGGGTACTGGGCAAGTCGGTAGATAAGGTTGTGAACCTTATTCACACTTATTGGCGCTCTTCAGCTAAGCTTATCTGCCACCTCGAGGAGTATGATGTCCACTGTGAGATTCAAAATGACACGATCTAGTGTTATAGTCAGTGGCGTTACCGCTCATCAACCACGTGCACGTTTATGCACTCATTAGTTAATGAACCACATCTGTTACATGAGAAATGATGATCCTACATGACCAATTAAACCTCACTATATGCAGGTCTTGAACTTGTGATCGACTTTCTGGAAGTTGAAAGGTTAAGTAAATAATCTTAAGCTCATTCAGGTTTTTAATTCCAGGCCAGACGGAAACAAACCGCTAAACTAATCTTTTTTCAAGTTTGTGAGGTAGTGCTTTTTTATTGTTTTAAATCGGTGAAATCCTATTTATTTTATCATCTTATCTCCATGTGTTATTTTTTCTTGAAGCTGGAACTGGGAAACATCATATCAGAATAATGGGACCAACTTTACCACATCCTCAATCTCAGAAACCGATTGTAAGTGCTTCTTCCTTAGCTGGTTACACTTTTTCTTATCTTGTAACCTGTCACCGAAAACCAGATAGACGTAATGATGAATTTATTTGTTGAAATATCAACTGGAAGTAAAGACTTGATTTAATCCTACAGATCGATGATTTTATGAAATGTTATAACAATGCTTCTGTCAATCTCCAGCAGTGTTTTACTGATTTCCTTTCATCCATTTGTGTAATGCCGGCAATCCCAAGGCATCCGCACGGGAGCCCATACACCGATGGTGGCCGATCGATTCGCTCCAATCAACGACTGAGAAGCACAAGCTACATCATCAAATACTAAACTATAAGCGTCATACAGGGAGTGGTTATCGTGAGTCGGTGAATAGCGCTCTAGCGTTTGGTTTTGGGTAGGAGTCTAAGTGGGGACAACATCACCTACTTGTAGCCGGCAGGCACATCCAGCTGACGAGTCCCAAAAGGGACGAAATGTGCATCTTGGACTCAACTGCCTACCTTTTTCCATCAATAATATCATTTGTGTCGTGTTTAAAATCGTTGATGTATGTGAATACTTCAGAAAATACACAAAGTTTGGATCATTAGTTCAAGATCATCGGAATACATATATTTTTTGAAAGCATTTGTTCACTCAATAGATACGAATCATTCACCATTTTGTAACTGACTTGGCTGTGGAGGTCTAAATGACCGATCATCACTGACCGATGTCTATCGACTAAGTTCGCAAAAGAACCACCGAGCTGAATGATCCATCATTGTGGTGCTGCATGCTTTTGTGTTGATAGCAAGCCGTGCACCTGGGTTTCCTGCTTGCCAACACTTATGAGCAAGATCTGTCTAGAATCATGAGGAAATTTATATCCCCTCAGTGATTTGCATCATTCAGTGCTGAAGTCAAAGATTTTATTACAAAGGTTGGCAGGACGCTCAAATCCCGAACATGTTGTGGTAAAATTTAGAAAAGATGGTTTAGTTTCGCGAAAAGATTCAGTCTCCTTACTTTGTATGTTAATTCTTATAGCATTTTATAATATTCATATGTCTCTATCCTCATTTAATACCACTATTCTACTCCCAGAATCCGGATGTTAGTCGGAAGACTAAACTCTTAATGGAAGCCGATCCAGACTATGTTGAGTGGGTTCCTCCACCAGGTTAGTTGATTTAGTGTACTGTCTTTTATTTGATGGTGTTCACTCGATGCATTTAAATAAATTATGATTTCATGAAATATACTTGAATCAGCTTTCTTTAATTACCCTAAGTATTCAGAAGTAATTCACCTGAACACACACGTACATCAAATAATTGTTTGCTTTAAAAATCCTAATTCTTCGTAATAATAAAAGGTGGTTCGATCTTTAATGATCACTATCAACGACATAAATTTGATCTGATGTAACGTCGACAGGCAAGCTATAACCTGTAAACAGTAAAAGTGATAAATTCACTCTACAACTTTTTACGCTAAACCGACGAAATAACAGTAAACACCAAAGTAGACTATAACAGAAAATTGTGCTGAAAACATCGATTGCTCATGAGTAGTAACGTCAGAATTGTTGAACAATTAAACACAGTGACTGGGTTGGTGACCAGTTCTGTAGGTTTTTACCTATTTTTTCACAATGCTTGAGAAACTAAGTAATAAACCTATAGAAGTGATCACAGCTTCTTATAATTCCACAGTTTGACCATACTACTTATGAATAACTGACATTTTCAGCCAGATTTTCAGATATATGGTCTAATTACGTGTTTACTGTTATTTCATTAGTTTGATGTAATTAGTTGTGTATTGAATTTATCATCCTTACTGTTTACGGGCTACAGCTTGCCCGTTAATGTTGTATCAGTGGATGAAAACCTAAATTCTCATTTGATTTATTTTCTTGCAGTATAGCTTGAATTGAATTTGTAACAGAGAGCTAAGCCATTATCTTTCTCGCTACTTTTTGCAGTTTCCTCAATCAACTGATTTATTTTTAGATGGGCAAAATGTATTTTACAGAGAAAGATATAATATATAACAATAGATAGTTAATACCTTGCCAAACATTGTATCTATTCAAGTTTGCTGCACATCTTTGAATTTTCTGAAGTTAACTTGAAGCTAAACTGAGGATATTTATTTGACTTAATGTAGCAGAGATAAGTCAAGAAAGTCATTGAGTTCTCTGTTAACCGACAGTGATAACTCCTAGGACATCTTTCCTGACTTACTTATTTTACAGGTATTTATAAAGGTAACCCTGATTTGCAATCATAACAGGTAACTAAGAAATTTGACTAAAGATGCGTTCAGTAGCAAAACAGTTGGCCTTACGAACATTCTATAGCTCGAAAACTTCTAGTTGGTATATCTTGAATAGCCAACATAACGCGTCAAATGTTACTTCACTGTAGTTTGGCTAAGTGATTATAAATACTGACGGGAAAACAATAGTCCTCAGTTGCCTTACTATACTCATCTGTCAGATCAGTAGGTTTTTAGGGGATCTATACTCAACACGAATGCTGGCTGCATGAACGCATCTCTTATTCTACTAAAAAGTATTTGGAAATGACAGGAATCGTAGCATATCAAAATGATTTTTATATTCTGTCAATAAAGGAGAGTAAATTCTGAACATTTAGACTTGAATATGATTGCTAGCTGTGAAACATATTTGTTTTTTTGTTGCTTCACCTTTTAGATCAACATGGAGATGGTGTCACTCCCTTAAATGCTAAATATGGATATTAATTGAACAAGATTCTTTCTGAACTTGTCTTGGCAAATAATTTGTAAATTTGAATAACTTCGTTGACATATACATTGCATACATATATGTACATATTCTCTTTCGTTACGTAATAAAATAATGTGATTAGTAAGTGGGTGTGGGTCTCACTAATGTATGTTTTCTTTGAAATAGGTGTAAATATTCAGACTCTACACTTTATAATTTTGAACCCTGAATGACTTACAGCATTTCTCTTTTCACGTTTTCCCAGTTTCTACGCTGTAAATCCACTTTAAGATAACCTAAGGATTAATTATATACAAAAGAAAAGTCTTATTTCTTTGACTACCGATGATCTACATCGTTTGGAAGATTCCCTTATAAAGGTTACCAAGAGTAAAACTTGTGCACTATAATTCTAATCGATTTATCATATAGTGAAGGAACATTGTTTACTGGATTACGTTCCGGACATTGTCCATAGTCCTATCAAGATAACTACATAACTTTGAGACATCCTCTATATAGTTCTGATTATTAAAATAAGCTCAGCCATAACTATGCATGCAATTACACACGATGGGATGAGACAGTGTGAAAGTCCTTAAAACTAACATGACAGTTTGAGGGGAGAGATTGAAAAATGTGTTTTTGTTTATCAAATCAACCAAATCCCAATATATGCGTCAAGGATGACTCAAACGTAACCTGTTCCGGATAGATGGAAAATCTTACTACCCGTATCACAAAGGGGGCGAGGTAATTAGAACCATATAAGAGATGTCTTAAAGTTGTGTAGTTATCTTGATATGACTATGGACAACAAATTATGCCCGGAACGTAATCCAGTAAGCAATACTGTTACACTGTGCGATAAACCAATGAAAATGGAATTACCAACTGACCGAAATTTTTGTATTCATTGTTTTACGTAATCCGGTGCATATTTATCGAGAAATCGTATTTCGTAGCATATTAAAGTAACTATAAAATACACCCTGCAAGCTGATACAATTATGAAGTGACTTTTTTCCTTATGCTACAAAACAGACCTTCCTGAGCTAAAAATCATAGTCATATAGAAATTAGGCGGGAATATTTCACGCCACATCTCCTTAATGAAGCAAAAAAGTGTGTGCAGAGATTTCATAACGCCACAAGATACTGAATTATGAAGACCGCTTCGTATAGAACAGTGACTGGATGCCATTAAACTCTGTAATTTAATGTTAGTATTCATAAATATATATATAACCGCCTCCTCCAACATACTGACTATTTGTGCGAGTAACTTAATTGTTTTAGCATATCTTGCAAAAACTCAAATGAAACGGCGCAAGTTGTCTCATCAAGGAGGGTATTTATAGTCATCAGCTGTAGAAGTGCAAAGGAGAAACAAAAGACGAAACGAAGTGAATAACGAAATTTGATGAAGGCAAAACATATATGTTTTGTAACTGATTCTGGGCAATATCTTCAGTCATCGATTTCGCCTGTCTTGTACAACTTTAACCTAAATTACTACATGGACTGGCGCCAAATTCTAATCCGATCATACTTAACATTTTTCCAGCCGAATGTTAGTTTAGCTTAAATTGCGTGTGACACATTTCCTGGCAACCTTCATCGATGAAGGTTCACAACTTCATCGAGAATTTCTGACTTATGACTCTACATTTAGGCGCTTCACTGACAATGTAGTGGTTTCACAACACATGAGCAATGAATTTAAATCATCTATAGGGTTTTTGTGTCTTAGCTCTTAATGTCTGCTTCACAGCCATAGCATTCTAAGTGGACAGGAAGCTGTTGTAATCTCAGATTTTGTCAGTTACTGACATTTCTGTTTCGATCCCATTCCCTAAGTACGCACAGTTTCCAACTTGCTCAATCACTCAATATTGTCTAGCAAAGTATTAACACAGACTAATCCTGAAGCAATAATTTGTATTTAGGTGGGGTATTCTCAAAATGTCACTCAGTATGCTCAATGGATTCTGCTTCTTATCAAGCTCAATAGCTTTTTTTCCTTTGAAAAAAAAATCCTTGCTGAATAGTAAAATTTATATTGTTAACATGGCGATCTGAATTTGTCGTTTGGAAGCACACTACTGATCGACCTTGTCGCCATTCGTACATTAGACAATGAATCACACCTACTGTGTGAAGGCTACTACCTGGTTGCCCAAACCTCAGTAGATGGGGCGGGCTCGAACCCCTGGCCTATCTGTTGGAAACAATCAGAAATAACTTCAAAGGTTGAATTGGCCAGTGATAACTTAGTCTACTCCTTTCCAAGTATTTCTTTGCGATCACTAAGGCCAGTATAACCACTTTATTAGCCTACAAAGACTGATATGATACAAAACAGTGGAGGGAAATATATAATGTCGAAGAAAAACATACAATTTAAATATAAATTGTTACGGTAAGCAACTGTCTTCAACAATACCAGTCCTTGGATAATAAACCTTGAAAGTATAAGTAATCTGACGTTTTGATGTACTGGAAAACTGGAAGTGACCGAATCGACCAGGATTAACAAAACGACAATTGCCAGTGGTCACAAGTCCAGGTTCTGAGGCATTTAGATCAGCCAACGGTTCTGGTTCTACAGCGACGACTAAATTAGGTAATGGATTCAAACTCAAAGCTTGATCATTATACCAGTAAACAGGTGCTATATGGCCTAAGACCGGTAGAAGGTGAGCTTGGCTTGCCAGACAACGTGCTAGGCATTGGCCTAGATATTCAAACGGTGTTTTATTACTTTTTGAAGTTTCTTTTGCCTTTTCTGATTGAACACTGCCAGAAGTTTCGCTATCTATGTCAACCACGACCTGGCAAAAGCGAAAAATAAAACCATAAAAACATTTTGTATCGGAAACATTACAAGCTGAAAAATAACCCATATAAAGGAAAACAAACATCCTATGCTAACAATGGGTCTAATGCCAAACTGAGAGGAATCTGTGCAGAAACCTGTGGTCATAGTGATAGAACAACTAAAGTTACTGATTACGAGCTTACAGCTGGTCAAATTCAATTCAAAATAAAGTGGCCTGATAAACAATTCAATCCTCTTTTGAATTCCTTAAAAAGCCCCAATTACCTGTTATTTTGTAATACTGGTCGTAGAATAAACGTCTTTCAACATTTCACATCATACGTATGCATGCTCCATTATTTCTCAAAATGACAACGGCATTTGAAAAACAAGAAGACAACTATTCACTGTATTCTGTTACATACTCTGAAGTGATATATTCACTGGTATATTATTACTAACTAAATATCCCATTCAGAAACATGAGGTCGATATCGCCTATCGTAGAAGTAACCATTTGAGAGATTCAACCAGGTTTCGTGAAACACATACTATAATCTATCCCAATCCTAAAAATAGCCTGGTTTGAACTCGCGATCTACTGATTAAAACTGAGTGTCTTAGTCGCCAATATGCAGTAATTGACATTCGCGGCGTCAACTAAGCTTGAATATCTTCGACTATAATATTGCGTAGCTGAACCGATAGCTGAAACCCGGTCTTACACACCTTATCGAGATATGCTGGTGAGATGTATTCTTTGAGATCCCATCACACATCTGTTGGATAGTGGTGAAACAAAATTGCGTTACTGAATTGGTGTAAATGACTGAACTACGAAAAATGGTCTGGGGCGAAGTCATAATTTTGGCAGGCCAGGGGTGTAGGAGCAGCAGTATGCTTTCCGCGGAGAACAACCAAAATCAAGCTGATACTGCCTTCTTAATAGGAACTGAAGATTAGAAAACATCAGCCACGAGTATATGCCACAATGCCTTCTGCCCAAGGGTAACTCTAGTGCTTACGCTGCTGACTTGAACTTATAAGAAACGGCTAACGTCACGATGGCCCCAAAAGAGACAGACCTGGGTACAATGCTCTGACTTTAGAAATGCGCATGGAAATAGCATCAGTAACACCTCCATCGGCATTCATACAAATATCCACGTACACAAACTTGTCGACTCCAGTATGTGGTCGCACATTAAATTATATCGAATGCTTAAAAAACGTTAAGTCGACAGATATCCCTTACCGAAGAGAGGTCACGCTTTAAAGGCGTCGATTAGAACTGCCTGCACTTAAGCATTTTTAGGACCGTCAAAACGAAAAGTGAGTTTAGTACATACTAATTAATGCATGATCAGAATCTAAACAAATGCTGCAGAAGGAGCAGCAGTTCTGAATACACCCATGTCATCAATTGCTGATCGCAATATGATCTATTTGAGCCGAGGGTAGGGTTGAAGAGGGAGGACACCAAGTAGTACAACGGCGATAGCTGTGTTTTGATTTTGTTCTGCCTGACATTATTGAATCCGAGGGGTGTTTATCAGTAACAGTAAATACAGCATGGCTGGAAAATTGAGTATTTTCTTGCAGAAACATAAGTATGAAAATCTCACCACGGTACTTAGAACAAAGATACATGTCTCAGTGGTAAAAATTCACTAATAAATGACTCAATATCTGCATGATATCCTGACATATTTAACTTGGGAGACTGAAATCAACCAGGAAAAATTGTGTAGGATTCTCAAACAACCTACTAATGTCTTCAGACCTATGCCTAAATTTGGTCAATTTACTTGAAAGTGGAAATCAAATATTAATTTTAGAACTGCTTGAAGAGTAGTCGAGAAAAGCAGCAGATACTGTTTATTGAGCAAATACAACCGGTAACGGCAAAAATGCTCAACTTTACTACATGCTAAGTAGTATCTATGGGAATTTCGAAAGTGATAACGGTTGGCTGGTGAGGATTTGAGCAAAAAGAATACACAATATTTGACAAGCATGGTCGAAATGCATTCAGCAATAGCATGAATGTTCCTCCATTAGGCCATGAGCCACATATAATGTGTGAGCGGTCTAATGCTTTATTATTATTATTATTATCATAACCAATCATGGTACAGCAGTGACATCAAGAAATGCGCCACACCAAATAGTGTAACACCATTGGGAAGACATGAAGGGAAATGGATCAGAAAAAACAATAAGAATAGCATGATCAGAAAGCTAGTCCAGTAAGATACATTTATTACTTTTCAGCAGCAGAAGAAATGAAGAGTTCACGCCATGACCGCCATTGACTTCCTTTAAGAGTCATATCTGATGTCTCAAGCTACTGAGTTGCGTGATCTCTCGGAACCCACTCAGGGAGTCATGATGCCCCGACGGATGCTAACCTGATACAACGATCCTTCATCATACGTCACACACTGATTACCCCTCCGCTTCTTCCATCAAGTTCCAAGGCTAGCAAACAATGAACGGTATGGAAGCCGTTTGAACGACATACGTAACACATGTTCAAGCCAGCAAGGTCGGTGTTTCCCGATGACTTTCTCCATTAAATGACGATCTCCATCATGCCTAAACACACGGTGTCCTACCTCAGGATTACTTACATGGTGTTGCCACCGGATACGTGCAATCATACGCAAAAAACGATGATCGAACAAAGAGTCGTCGCGCATCCTCAGCTCGAAGAGTCCACGTTTAACAGGCGTAGAGCAGAAATGCTTGCACCGAAGCGTTGTAAACCCGACCTTTTACGATTAGAATAATGTCGTGACGGTGCCAAAGGTGCCCCAGACTGGCGAATGCCACTCTGGCTAACAATGTGCGGTTGGGAATTTCATCACTCGCACAATTACCCAGATACACGAACTTTTCGACTACTTCCAACGGCTCACTATCAAGGGTGAGGTCAGGCATGGGCTCCTGCCAATCTTACAAAAGTATTTTGCACTTCAATGGTGCAAAGCTCACTAATCGCCAACTGATTAAGTACGACTTAAGTAGCATGTATGTTATCGCACAGTAAGACGATATCGTCCGCACATTCAAGGCCGAATAGGCGTTCTTTGGGCATTAGATCGACGCCACCATCGTGCTCAGAGGTGTTTCGAGAATGTCATCGATGGTAAATTTAGAAAGGAATGGAGAAATCGGGAAACCCTGTCTATTCCAACTACTGGTTTGCAACAATGGAGACAGGTGGGGCTTTCAAGATGTTAATAAATTCCTCACGCACGCCCATCTCCAACAGACGATTTCAGAGTATAGCTTTGTCCAATGAATCGAAGACAGCCCTAACGTCAAGAAAAACAATGTTGGCTTCCAGTACGTCTGACAATGTTCAAGCATCTGGTAAAGGGTAAATACATGATCAATGTATTTATGAACTGAACAAAAACTGACCAGCTCTTCGCTAATCATTTCTTCGCGTGATACTACCTGGCTGTACAGACCTCGTGTAGGTGGAGCGGTGTTCGAACCCATGATCCATTGGTTGAAAGTCATCCCCCTAAACCAATGAACCACACGATAATAATGTGTAGACTAAGACGTAAAACAAGAAACCGTTTGGAAACGTGAACCTTATTACAAGTTAATATTTTTACTATTATCAGTTCAATTTTTTCGACAAGTAATATATGTTGCTCCATTGGATTTCTCTTCACTATGACTTCTAACGGCTTTCTATTATGCTGTTCAAATTCCTTTGTCCTTCACCTTGTACCCCTTTGATAGGCTTGAACAACTTTGAGTATTATTTTGCAAATACAATATCCTGTGCTAATATTCACTGACTGAGGGAGAATACTGGTTTTAAACAACTAACTAGTGACCAGTTCGTTCACGAATTCAGTTCCAATTTAACATCAAGATAGTAAGTGTCTAAATTGATGGATTTGAAGGGTTGATACCATTACATGATTGATGTAATCAATTTTTAAAAATGTTTGATAACGCACACGTACACATGCAGACGCTGATTTATTCTTACCTCAGAATCTTCAGTTCCAATAGAATTCCCAATACTTCCATTTTTTTCGATATGTGAATCTAGAGTGTTTAGTGTGGGTAAGTGAATACAATGTCGAACTAACAGACGACTGTAATTAATACGGAAAACCACTATCTCACGTGTGTATACACGTAGACGACATGGATTTGAAGCTAAATGTAACCACTGAGGACAAGAAGTAGAACGATCTCTATCACTAGATACTAAATCTACTGGTAAACCAGGGCGTGGTAAAATATGTTTGGGGGCACAAACAGGATCTTCAGGACCAGGAATCAACACTAGTGATGGAGATTGGTTGGATTCTGAGTTGGTTTGAGCCTCTGTATCTGGAAAGTTATTCTTGAAAATTGTGATTAGTTGACGTAATAATCTTCTCAGGATTATTCTCTAATTGAAAATAGAATATTATGGATCCTTTAAAGTTAATAAAACAAAATATCAATGTATTGTGTCAAAATATATACTAATATAACAGATGGCAATAAGTACTACTACAACACTTAATTTCATTGTAGCAGGTATCTAAGATAGACAAATAGACTCAGAGCTATCCTTTTCCACTGGTTAAATAATATTTTTGGCAAGCCATCGAACTGGCCTGATATGGTCGTAGGTGGAGTGAACTGGATCATCTTCTAGAAAATGCTATCAAACGGTTATGAATTCCTAACCCATGTGATGGAATTCTGAAGCATAACCTTCATATGATGGAAGTGTTTGCTCAAAAGTAACCGGCGCCTATCGCTGGATTGGTGAATACACAGGATCCAACCTGAGGAGTTGGTAAACTCGGAGATTCTGAACGCATAGGTTTTTGAATCTAGAACGGATGGATGGTGTATGACCGTAATTTTGTCACTAGCAACCATGGAAATGCATCATCTGATATTGCTTCACTGCTGCCCTTTAGATCAGACATCAAGTGGAAGGCTCGGAGAGTGGTCCTCTAAGATAATGCGTGTATCCAGGACGTGTCACCCTCAAAAAATGATAAAACAATATTATGATGAGAACTTCTGAGTACCTACTGGATCTTTCTGTGAGCGACCAATTTCTTGTTCTACGAATCTTCTACACAATTATTGGCATTTGATTTTTTTTCTTACATATGAGCCTTATCATTTTTTCTGTTTTCAAATTAGTCTTCATCAATGTCTTGTTTCACGCAGTTGCTTTCACCAATTGAAATTGTGGTCAACCTGTACTCTTTAGTCACTTAGCATTTGATCGCAGAAGATGTCCTTCAGTGTATTAACTGATACAAATATTCTGAAATCATACCCACCGTTTGAGCTTGCTATCTTCGAAATTCGGACCTTGATGTAGATTGAAACAGACAAGTTTGGTTAGACTCTAGAAAGCCTCGCTATTGACGTATACTATAGCTAAAAGACCCACAAAAACCTATTCAAGTGCTTCGATAACTTCACAATCCATCAACTCGAAAGGTGTGTTTACTACGAGTTTATCCGGAGATTCTTTGGTACCACTAGTCGAACTTGCTGGCATTGACTTCGCATTGAGTGCTGGAGCTAAAGCTGGACTAGTTGCTGAATTCCCACATAATATGAGCTGTTAGTTTAGAATAAGAAATAAATGACAAGAGAGATTTTCTTCGACATTTGGCTATACTCTGGCGACCTGCAGCTCGGATGCAGTTAATGATAGATTTTACCATCAATTGAACGGCATGTACTAGTGGATGGATACTTGAACGTGCAGATTATTGGTTTATGTTTAATAGTTCCAACGAGCAGTACAGTTAGGTAGGATTGTTCGTTTTACTATTTCTCTGTAATTTTGTCATTATTGACATTTCTAAGACAACTCTGAAAGAGGTGCGTTGCGGTAAAGTAGATTTCGTAACGAAAAACATTTTTCGGTCTTGAGTATGTTGACAATATCATCCTATTGTGAGATAGCATGCAGGCCGCCAGAATCACTACCTAATCCATTAATTGGTGATTAGTGTGCATTAACATTCTCTGTGCTTTGTATAGAAAAAGTGCGAAGCACTTTACAAGCTAACGAAAGCTGGTGTTTACTTCCACTCCTAGTGGTGAAACTGCTGGAAGTCCAGAAGTTCGCGTACGTGAGTCGTTGTGTACTTGTTGGCCGATGTAAACGTAGCAACTTGAACACATGCACTTATATGCTAGGTTCTACGCTGATTGGTCACGCCCTAGAAATTATCGCACCACGGTTACAGATATAAAGTTACAAAACCACTGACTTGGATGGGTAAATATGACTCTGTAGTGTGTATCTAATGTTATCACATCCATGAACTATAGCAGTGTAAAGTTCTACTTCACTTTCACGTTGTTTCATTCTGATAAAGCGCTTATAAACTACTTGAAGATACGAATATAGATACAGTATGCTTGATTTATTTTCAAACGATTTCACATCTACTGAATATGCTCTTTAATTGTTATCTGCAGTATAAACCTATGTGAGGCTTGTCATATATTCTAAGCAGTTCACGAAAGTCGTTAAAAAAAATGTATTCTCCCTTTAGTTAACATGCTTAATCACTACTGAAAAACATTAGGAGTCATGTACAGATTCGTGCATTAAGCGAACAGATATCCCAATGGTGTGACGACAACTGATATCACACGGATCCCAAGACTTCCATAGTTGGAGCGGATTTAAACCTTTCACATAGTGATTGAATATGGGATATTTGAACCAATGCATTAATGTCAATTTAAAACAAATTTATGTAAACTTAAAATATTCCTCGAACGTTGAATAGGGTAGTAATAATAATGAGCTGTTAACTCAACCAGCTTTATAAATCTCATAACAGTACCCGTAGGTTTGGAGACACGTATTTATAAATCATAAAATAATCGGCCACTTTGCAGGTCAGTAAACATTTACGATATGCTGAAGTTTACTCTAGTGAAAGCCTTATAAAATAATGAATGATAATGGCATTAGATCGCTAATTTTATACATCGACTGCTCTGGGATTACCTTATACACTTACACGTTCAGTGCATGTCTTTCCAGCATTATCTGCACTCAAGAAATTACCACTTAATATAAATGCAAGTGGAGCACATGCTGCATAACCACCAAAAAGAGTAGTCAACCGATCCATAGTTTCTGGTTTGTCAAGATGTGTTTCTCCCAAGAGTACAAGCATAGAGTCTGAACCAGCCTGGAAAAAAACAAGTAGAATTCAGTAACACATTGAAAAAAGATTATCTTAACGATATGGTAGGAAATAAATCAGAAAGTGATATGTGCTCGAAACCAAAATAGTTTACATTTGTCTTAAGAAAAGTACAATTGATGTAAAAATAAGTAACGAGTTAAATGAAAAACAGTAACCGAGCAAAGATGTTTGGCTGATCAGATCAATGTAGAGTAGAGTTGTGGTCAATTGGTTTAGGAAGTTGAGTTTTAACCATTGGATCGCAGGTTTGAACACCGCCCCCCACCCATCTAGGTTTGAGGAGATAGGTAGTATCATTAGCCCTCATACAACAAGTGTGCCTCATTACCTACTGCTAAGAAGCTCTCGTTTAACTTCATTTTTTCGCAAATACTAATATAATTAATGCAAGAGTAAAACTTGCGTACTACTGCAGACTGTTATTCAATTTCAGATTGTTTATCAGGTGTATCACAGTGAAACAGTATTATTTACTGGATAACATTTCGGACACTATCATCTATAATCATATCAGTGTTAAGCAAATCTGTAGTCTTTTGACTGTTGTAAGGAGGTGTAGAGGATACGTGGATAGGATCCTCGAAATATTAGGATGCATTGGTTGGAGATTGCTAGTGACAAGGTTCAAGATAGATCATAGTTGCACAGATGTATCCACCCTTTGTGATCAACATTTTACTTACTTATTCCTTATTCCTCGCATAATTTTGACTCTTAAGTTTCATTCACTTACTAAGCATTTGCTCTTTGAGTGCTGTTGTTAAGTTTTACAGTTTGAAGTAATGCGAAACCATAATGTCTATACACCTACGTATCTACTTTCTAATTGATTTTTCTCACTCCATACTTCGGAATAACACAAAGTCCCAAGTAGTTTCCTTTTACATCTAAATTTCCTGGTGTACAGGTTGACAGTAAATAATAGCGGATTTATATGTTAATAAAAGTCAGCAAATAGATAGTTCCAAATTACTCCGCAAATTTTTACTTTCAAAAACTTCAATGAAGCATTCATATTGTCAGTTTACTAGCCTGACTCAGATGACCGAGTCACACTTCCGTAAGTAGGTAAATCAGCCTACAACGTGAATCAACGATGTGTCAAAAAGTGATATCTTCAAACAATGAAAATTGCGTACGGTTTCTCTATATCCACATAACGGCACTACTAAAAGTGTTACGAACATGAGATTCAAAGGAGGATTAAAGATACAAGTTTCCTAACCCTTCCATTATTCGGGGTGAAATCAAAAGTAGTTAACGTTTCTTTCTATGCATGCCTAAGGCTTCTTCTCTAATAAACTGTCCTTTCTACTATTTTATGTCTTGATAATGTTACTTTGTTATATTTATGGCACATCTATTGGTACCCGTGTACGAAGTTTGTGTATTTCATGAAAAACAATCAAGTAATTTGTGTAGAGGGTCGCAGAAGATTATGACTCTTTAGAGCTAATGTTGAAATATTGATTTCGTTCCGGTTCGCACCCGCATCTTACTGCACCTAGAGGGACATAAGAAACCTACAACATGAAGAATATTGTAAGCGCGGTCCGACGATGAGAATATTAATGTTGCTTACAACGAGGAGCTGACTGAAAAGTTGTTGAGACCAGACAACGTCATTCATTTTGAAGAAGCCTAGTTCCATCTCTAGTCTCCTGTAAAAACAGCGTTAAACACGGTAACTGATCCCCATAAAAGGAAGGGTCAGTTGATCTCAGCAGCTTCCTCAAAAATGATAGATGCGCCTGAATCCACTTCTCTGGTCTCTGTGCACAGTGAGAAGCGGAAGCAAACTGCTAAAGAGTCTACTTAATGACCGTGAACAGACTGGTGGACAATGAGGGATTGGATGGGCAGTGACTATAAGCAACAGTGGACAGTTATTTACACTTATCAAGGAAACTGGGACGAAAACGTCGGTGATTAGTCAGCCTATGGCGGAGAAGGATAGGGTTGTGGCCCACTCGCAGAAGAAACGACTGGAACGGTGGGCAGAATATTTCGAGGAACAGTTCAACCGACGTCCAGCTACTATCACTTTGCAGCTGTCCAGTTGTGTCCTGAATGGAACATCCAGGAAGGAATCCCGGAACTTACAGAGATCAAGAAAGCTGCAAGCAATCTGAAATGATGAAAAGCAGAAGGGACAGACTGACTAGTACTGGAGGTATTTAGGGGCGGTGGTGGGGGATTTTCAGAGAGATTAACTGAAGTGTAAACGGGTGTGTGGGAGTAAGATATAATCCTCTCTAACTGTTCTCAATCACCGATTGTCCCAATCTTCAAAAAAGGTGAGAAGTCCTCTTGTGATAACCTCAGAGGTGATTGAAGTGAAATAAAAATCTGGTCAGCAGTCAGACCTCATATCTGTTGGTAGAACATCAGACCAGAAATCTGGTAGTCGCTGGTTTAGTCCGGCGGCAGTCCAAATTTTCATTTCACCTTCAGTCATCATCCAGTATCAAAACTAGTCTTCCAAACCACGGCTATCTCAGATGGTCGAAATGATAACCACTGTGGAATCAACCTGGTAAACATACTGTCTAACTCACTGTGACCGATTTTAAGCCATGTCACTATGAGTGCACAACCACTGATTCCCAACACCTCGGGAACCCCAGTCAGACAGTCTACACCTTCCCACATGGCTCAGACCAACAAACAAAAACTCCATGCAGAGGTACCATGTGTTGGCTTAAATGACCTGAACCGTCTTCCAAACTAACCCAACTTTCCCGAGCATGGCACATCGAGGTAGGCGGTCGCTTGGCATCTGCAGTACACGTCAAGCCACCTCAGTCGATGGAGTTTCACAACCTCATCAATCAACTTGCCCGTCTTGCCCCTATTACCCTTCACCTGACCCCAATATTGTTCACATGGTGATTCCACATTACGCAAGCAATGTTATGAAGACATTTGTGATCAAAACCCTGTAACTGCTTCATGTCTTCTACTTTTAACGACCATGCCTAGCAACCGCAAATATAACAGGACAGAATGGACTCCAGCTCAGTAAACTCGTCCTTTAATGGATAGTTTGATATCTCGCCAGTCGGTGCCAGAGCTGACGGATGTTGACAAATGCCGAATGGACCTTCCGTATCCGAGTTGAGATTTTGTCGGCAACCAGCCCATTTGAACTGATGCTATTCCCCAAGTAAGTCAGTTGGTCAACACATTCCGCCACTTCACTCCTTATCATTAAACTGGAAGTACTTGTAGCAGACCAGTCCTGGAGAATCATCATCTTAAATTTGATAGGCACCAAGCAAATGCCAGTCAAACATACTTGGATTTCTGCTCCACACATACAGAAGACGCTGGGTTTCGTCAGTGTCTTCACCTAGCAGGACAATGTTGTCTACGTACTCCAAGTCAACGAGACGACCTCCAAGGAGTAGGTCAATCCTTGTGACATAATTACTAGCTAACCACTACACTGAAATCACCGCAACAAAAATAGTAGAATGATCCTTCAACCACAAAAATAACCAATGAATTCCAAAAACCATATTGAATACAGAGCCCAGAGATTGTAGGTACTTACCTGAGTGGTTGTAAGCAATTTGTGCATCCTTGCATCATGAGGTGCTGCAGGTGCATCAGGCGGGCCTCCGCCAAATGGATTTCCCACTGAAAAGGCACGAAGTGAAGACTCATACGATTCACAAGGAGGAAGGCCGATACCAGTGACGTACAGCACTTTTTCGTCATAGAAACCTTCAATTAACAAAACTGACCCTTCGGGAAACAGTCCCTAAGAAACAGTTAAGGTATAACAAATATTAGAGATCGATCTCAAGCAATACGCTTATTTCTTTTGTTCAATATTCCAACGCTTCATATGTAAAAAATGAAGATGAATGTGATTCAAGCTTGAAGCATAACTTTACATTCACAAAGTCAAGCTCAAACCACACTCAAACAGATAACTTTTTCGAATATTATTTGTGAAATAAGTATTTATTACATTCGAAAATAAGTTGTTCCAGACTTACATCACATCTGGATCCCAAAGTCAGTGGACAAGCCAAAATAAACTAATAAAATAATGATGAACATACATGCCATAATTTTTACAAGTGTCCTTATAAAGCAGTGGGCTCAGACTGATTTAATCATAAGAGTATATTCAAATGTAAGCCCAGGGAAATGAGAAAATCAAGACAATTTTTTGAACGTGTCTGTAAACGACACAGCTCCCTTCAGAAGAATATTTAGATTCTCATTTACATCAGAATACATAGCCAGGAAGCATATAAATTTTTTAGTTTTGTAGGTTTGTTGTTCGTTTGGATTTCATGTTTCTTATTTTCAAACGCAGTTGGACTGGCTCAGGGGTCTAAGGCACCGGACCAAAAGTATGTGGGTTCAATTCCCACCTCCATCACACGTTTCCCGGCCGACAGATGGCACAACGTGGAGGTCAGGTTTTTATGTCACAATAACCCTACGAGCTGCAGTGCCTGAAACGCTCCTTCTCTCGAGGTCTAACCATGCCAAAAAGGTCTGTTGGATAACGGTTGAACAAAGAGTAGTCAATGTTGTAGTGTAAAATGCTACATTATAACAGAAGCTAGAGGACGAAGTCGTACTGCTGGTTGCATAGGGTGTGACAGCAGTAAGGTGTCTCATGCGGATGACAAGAAGTAAAACCCTGATGTTCCCTTTCCTTTGGGAAGGAAGGAGGCTTTGGTAGGACTGGCCTCAAAAATAGCACGCTACTCCGTGCCCCACGGTCTTCCAGTGCAGGTGGTATGAGTTTTTTTTTATGCGGCGTTAAACAGTAAAATCTGAAAACAATAATCCTCCAAAGGCTCTTTGACAGGCACAAAACGTAGGTCTCACGAGCTCTATCGCCTTACAAATATTTCCCTCTTCCAAGTACACTAGGCGAAAACAGCTATCCACGGTATGTGCAGCCGGGGTGAGTCAACCGCCCATACGCTCCCAGTAGTACAAAAGACCCGACCAAATATTACCTATCCTCCTCAACTATGTCGCATCCCTAGTTTTCATTTTCTGACACCAATATTAAATCTCATACAACTTGCACAACCTCTCACTATGCGTCAATCGATAAAGATAAAAGTCACAGAAACACCATTCCTAGTCTCCTAAGATCCTGCCATTGGTTTCACACTGCATCCTTCAATGTTAAAAACCCATGTCAAACCCAACACAAGCATCGCTCGCCAGAACTCTGAAATCCCCAGTCATGGATGTTTGCTGTGTCTCCAAGACACGTAAGTATACATGAACCAAGTATGTTCATAAAATTGACCTGAACTGGCCGGTGTGATGAATCTTAAAACTTCACCTAATGAGTATCCAGAGATGCAGAGGCTAGCTCCCGCGTAGATGTCACAATAAACATAACCTTACGTACGTCTGACTTCACAATCATTGACCTACTCCTTGGAGGTCGTCTCGTTGACTTGGAGTACGTAGACAACATTGTCCTGCTAGGTGAAGACACTGACGAAACCCAGCGTCTTCTGTATGTGTGGAGCAGAAATCCAAGTATGTTTGACTGGCATTTGCTTGGTGCCTATCAAATTTAAGATGATGATTCTCCAGGACTGGTCTGCTACAAGTACTTCCAGTTTAATGATAAGGAGTGAAGTGGCGGAATGTGTTGACCAACTGACTTACTTGGGGAATAGCATCAGTTCAAATGGGCTGGTTGCCGACAAAATCTCAACTCGGATACGGAAGGTCCATTCGGCATTTGTCAACATCCGTCAGCTCTGGCACCGACTGGCGAGATATCAAACTATCCATTAAAGGACGAGTTTACTGAGCTGGAGTCCATTCTGTCCTGTTATATTTGCGGTTGCTAGGCATGGTCGTTAAAAGTAGAAGACATGAAGCAGTTACAGGGTTTTGATCACAAATGTCTTCATAACATTGCTTGCGTAATGTGGAATCACCATGTGAACAATATTGGGGTCAGGTGAAGGGTAATAGGGGCAAGACGGGCAAGTTGATTGATGAGGTTGTGAAACTCCATCGACTGAGGTGGCTTGACGTGTACTGCAGATGCCAAGCGACCGCCTACCTCGATGTGCCATGCTCGGGAAAGTTGGGTTAGTTTGGAAGACGGTTCAGGTCATTTAAGCCAACACATGGTACCTCTGCATGGAGTTTTTGTTTGTTGGTCTGAGCCATGTGGGAAGGTGTAGACTGTCTGACTGGGGTTCCCGAGGTGTTGGGAATCAGTGGTTGTGCACTCATAGTGACATGGCTTAAAATCGGTCACAGTGAGTTAGACAGTATGTTTACCAGGTTGATTCCACAGTGGTTATCATTTCGACCATCTGAGATAGCCGTGGTTTGGAAGACTAGTTTTGATACTGGATGATGACTGAAGGTGAAATGAAAATTTGGACTGCCGCCGGACTAAACCAGCGACTACCAGATTTCTGGTCTGATGTTCTACCAACAGATATGAGGTCTGACTGCTGACCAGATTTTTATTTCACTTCAATCACCTCTGAGGTTATCACAAGAGGACTTCTCACCTTTTTTGAAGATTGGGACAATCGGTGATTGAGAACAGTTAGAGAGGATTATATCTTACTCCCACACACCCGTTTACACTTCAGTTAATCTCTCTGAAAATCCCCCACCACCGCCCCTAAATACCTCCAGTACTAGTCAGTCTGTCCCTTCTGCTTTTCATCATTTCAGATTGCTTGCAGCTTTCTTGATCTCTGTAAGTTCCGGGATTCCTTCCTGGATGTTCCATTCAGGACACAACTGGACAGCTGCAAAGTGATAGTAGCTGGACGTCGGTTGAACTGTTCCTCGAAATATTCTGCCCACCGTTCCAGTCGTTTCTTCTGCGAGTGGGCCACAACCCTATCCTTCTCCGCCATAGGCTGACTAATCACCGACGTTTTCGTCCCAGTTTCCTTGATAAGTGTAAATAACTGTCCACTGTTGCTTATAGTCACTGCCCATCCAATCCCTCATTGTCCACCAGTCTGTTCACGGTCATTAAGTAGACTCTTTAGCAGTTTGCTTCCGCTTCTCACTGTGCACAGAGACCAGAGAAGTGGATTCAGGCGCATCTATCATTTTTGAGGAAGCTGCTGAGATCAACTGACCCTTCCTTTTATGGGGATCAGTTACCGTGTTTAACGCTGTTTTTACAGGAGACTAGAGATGGAACTAGGCTTCTTCAAAATGAATGACGTTGTCTGGTCTCAACAACTTTTCAGTCAGCTCCTCGTTGTAAGCAACATTAATATTCTCATCGTCGGACCGCGCTTACAATATTCTTCATGTTGTAGGTTTCTTATGTCCCTCTAGGTGCAGTAAGATGCGGGTGCGAACCGGAACGAAATCAATATTTCAACATTAGCTCTAAAGAGTCATAATCTTCTGCGACCCTCTACACAAATTACTTGATTGTTTTTCATGAAATACACAAACTTCGTACACGGGTACCAATAGATGTGCCATAAAAATAACAAAGTAACATTATCAAGACATAAAATAGTAGAAAGGACAGTTTATTAGAGAAGAAGCCTTAGGCATGCATAGAAAGAAACGTTAACTACTTTTGATTTCACCCCCAATAATAGAATCGTTAAGGAGAATGCAGTAGTGTCAGCAGTGGTTGCTATTTTGAGCGATTTCTGCTACTTTCGGAGGCCATCGGGTCACATGATTTCTCAGATTGCATGCATAAATTCGGAGGGCACCAAGATATGCTAAGCTAAAATAGGTAGCCTTCGTCAAGTGATGACATATCATGCAGTGACTACGTCTCAGCTTTTTCCAGCAAGCGAATAGTTAGGATTGTGATACTCGTTGGAACGATGACCCTAACATGTGTCACAGCTACCGAACTCGTTGTTTTAGGATGACCTTATTCAATATGAATGACAATCACCATCACGCAAACACATGCAACCTGAATATATGGTGTTCCAAACGGATAAGAGAGATGCTTAGAAAACGATGACTAAAAACGTTAAGTCGATAGATATCAGTTACCGAAGAGAGGTCACGCTTTACAGGCGTCGGTTAGAACTGCCTGCACTTATGCATTGTATACCTGAGCTTTTACGGCAACGTTAACATCACAGTGGAACCAAAAAAAAACAGACTGGCGTACGATGCTCTGACTTTCGAAATGAGCTTGGAAATATCATCAGTAACAGCTCCATCAGCACTCACACAAATACCCAGGTATACAAATTCGTTGACCAACTTCAACAACTCGTCAGCAAAGGTTAGGGCAGGCACTAGCTTCAGTCAATGTTGCTGAAACACTTCGCAAATACCACACCTCTCCATATTCATTGTAAACTGACTGAGTGCAAGTTCGGTAGCCTGCATGTTGTCGCACATTAAAATGATATCGAATGCATACTAGAAGTCGAACAGTCTTTCATCGACCCACCACTACCACCCCTCCTTTACCGCTGTCTTAATAATGTCGTCAGTGACAAAGTCAAAGAAGGGTCAACAACCCAGCAATCCTGCCTAACCTCACTATTCGTTTGGAACAATCGAGAGATGTGTCTGTACGCCTTCACTCCCACTGACGTGCTGAAGTATAAAGCTTTCAAGATGGCAACAAATTTCTCAGAAACATCCCTATCTCATAACCCTGATGTCAAGATTTACAACAATCATTGGCCTGCAACACGCATCAGGATGTCTAAGCATCTCACGGAGGTGAACACATGATCGCCGCACACACAAACTGGACAAAACACGACCTGATTCTCACACTTAAAT